GCTGGCAGGCACGGCCACCCTCGCTTCGCGGGCCCTGCCTTTTCTCAGCGAGAGAGAAATGTTCTTTCGACTAATTTTTAATTCACTAACATTTTTTGCTTTTCTCGCTGCGCGGCTGCAGGCTGGGAGGTGCTGGTGCTGGGGTTCTGATATCGCGCTGCTCCAAAGGGGGCGTGAGAGGCCGGGGCGCCCCCCCACATGGCGGGGAACAGCCCCCCACTGTCCTGCAGTGACTGGAGTGCCCGGCCCGGCCCCCAGCCCCGTCCCTCGCAGGCCAGTGGGGGCCCCAGGCAGGCCCCCGCCCCGGGCCACACGGGGTCTGCCCCGCGCAGAGATGCTGGCCCCTCACAAGCCGACGCTGTCCCCCCGCTTGGCACCCAGCCTCGGGAAAGGCGTCTGTCGAGGTCAGCTGGCCCACGCGTGGGCGGGAGACCTTGGGGCGGTAGGCGTGTCCACGCGGGGGCAGCTGCCGCCTGAGCTTCCCAGCCCGGCCTTTCCAGCCGTCTGTGGAAACTGCCGCAGGAGGCGGTGCCGGCGCGGGAACAGCGGGGCGCTGCTGAGGCCTGTGGCCCAGCCCCAGGGACGCGCCCCTCCTGGCCTTCACCCCTGCCCGGTGGCCTTTACTGCGGACACTTTGAACATGGGTCAGGGGCACGGCACCACGCCTGGGGGCCGGCCAGGTGGGCAGAGTGGGCTGAGCTGCCGGATGGGGGTCTTCTGAGGGGGCCGGGCCAGCACATCAGAAGAGATATGGCTCCCTGACTTTGCAGGCTCCACCACCCCAGCTTCTGGTCCCCGCAGCCAGGGCGGGGGGAGGGGGGTGTGGGCGAAGGGCCGAGCAGCCCAGACAACGCTGCCAGCCTGTTCCCTCCTTCGTGTGCACATGGGGCGACCTGGCCCTGCCCCCAGGGAGCCTGGGTCACCTGCTGGGTCCCAGACTGTGCTGGGTGCCCAGGGAGGGCTGGCTCCAAGCGAAGGGGGCCGCCCAGGGGCTGCCTCCATGGTCATCAGTCAATCGCCTGCCCCGCCTCTGCGAATGCGCCCCAAGGAGACGCAGGCCCCAGGCTCAGGAGCGCCCTGGCAGAAGTCGCCTGTCTGGAAGAACGAGGCTCAGCCTCGGGCAGCTCCACACTCCCCCCAGCCTGCGGCCGCGGCTCCCCTGTGGCTGGCCCATCTGCCCTTCCCCAGAGGAGGCCCTGAGCGAAGACCACAGCTCTCCCCAGTGCCCGCCAGAGTCCCCAGGGCACCCAGACATGCGCTGGTCTCAGGGGTGAGGCTGTGCAGGCTGAGTCATAAGGTCGTGTGTGTGTGTGTGTGTGTGTGTGCACGCACGCGTGGGTGTGTGTAGTGTGTGAGGGATAGGTCTTTATCCTCCTCCCATACCTTGAGCACTCATTTCTTTTCAGTGCTGCATATTACTCCACCGTCCGGTTAGGCCCTTTTATCCACTTGCCTGCGATGGGCATCTTGGCAGCTCCCAGGCGCCGGGAATTGGGAACGAAGCTGCTCTTGACACACGAGCGCCAGGAAGAGTCGGCCTCAGATCAGCTCTGGGGATCGATGTGTGAGCACATGGGTGCCCCCAAAGCAGGGCCCCATCCCTAGCTGGAATCTGAAGCAAAACCCCTTTGGGTGACATTGGGGCAGAGCGAGGCAGGACCAGTGGAAGATTCCCGCCCACCTCCAGCAAGGGAGCACCCGCTGCTCTCCGCCTGGGCCTTCTTGCTTTCTCTCTCCCTTTAAAAAGCCCCCCTTGGGCCTCCCCTCAGGGCTCAGTGGTTGAGCGCTGGGCTGCGAAGCTGCCTGCAGCCTCTGCAGCACCAGTTCGATCCGCAGCCACCGGGTGAGGGTCCCCCATGGCGCACAGACCTCTCCTGCCGCCCGCTGCTCCCCTCAGCAGTGTCTTCGGTCCTTCTGCCTGCTCTGCTCCCCGCTCTGGCTCTGGTGAATCCTCTCACACTCCCGCGCTTCTGACTGTACCCAGTGCTTGTATGAATAAATAAATCTTTAAAAATAAATAAAATAAAAAGCCCCCTTTTCCTTTAACCCTGACGAGGGTCGAGCGTGGGGCCATCCCTAAGCCCCCAGGCCCCCATGTTCAGGCTGGGGTCCACCTGCTCGCGCTGGGCAGCACCTACTAGCCTCCCCTCGAGGTGGGCCTCCCGGCCATATTACACTCTCGGTCTTGATCCCAGAAGCCTGGGACAAACGCAAGCACCAGGACCGCAGGACAGCCACCACCGACAGTCACAGCCCGGCTGCTGTGGCAACAGGCCGCGGGGGACCAGTGTGGGGTGCTGCAGCCTGGAATTCGCAGGACCTGGGCACTGCCTGGGTGTGGGCAGGGATAGGGCAGCTGTCAAGAATGCCGGCCTGGGCAGAGGGGCTGCAGAGACCACACACATAGACAGGGGAGCAAGGAAAGGCCAAGGGCTCTCCTGGGGTGCTAAGCCCCGGGTGGCAGCAAGAGGCCGAGCCACCGCCGGCAGGCGCCGGCCACGCAGAGTACGTGAGTTGACACTGGCACAAATGGCTGGAGCCAGATGGACTCGTGGCAGTCGAGTTCCAATTAATGAGGACTCGGAGCTGGGAAGTTTCTGAAATAAAGCTACTGAACCCACCTTATTACGAAGCCAATTCCAGGGGCAATGGGACCACGTCAGTGTTTCATACAGCGTGACTTTGCTTCTACAGCCGGCAGCGAGTCCACCAGTTGCTTTTTCAAACGGTTCCCTGCCGGTCACACACGTGTCTTTTCCCTCCCGGTAGACCTTGTGGGTTGCGCGGGGAGACGCACAAACTGGGGTGGGAAGGAGGCTAGGACAGCCAGGCAGGTGCGTGTGCACTTGTGCGCACATGCATAAATGTGTGTGCGCGTGTATGTGCGTGCACTGTGTACCTGCATGCAATTGTGCATGTGTGATCCTGAGCATGTGTGTGCACGGTGTGTATATACATGTGAGGGGGTGCGTGTGTGTGCGTGTGCACACTAGCTCGGCCAAAAGCACAGCCTTCGCCGGGAAGCACTTTCCTCAGGACAGAAGCGTGCTGGGCACAGGAGCCAGGGGGACCGCAGAGCTCTCACTTTTGCGCACTCAAAAGAGGCATCGACTGTACTTTCAGGCTATGGGGGTGTCGCCGCACAGGAGCAGAGCACAGGGGCACTCTCTGAGGAGAATGTGGGCCACCTCCACCGGGGAAGGCTGCGGGGAGGCCCCCAGGCCCGTGAGGACAGGGTCAAGAGTCCACTTTTCAGCGGGCACGGTTGAGCTGGGAGACCTCATGCTGGTGGTGAGCGGCCTGATGTAAGGATGCGCACCTGTTAAAAAGCAGCTATGATGTTTAAACAAGGGGCTCCAAGCACACACACGGGCTGCACGGCGTCCACGCGAAGCAACTCCAGGTGCGGAGTCAGGCCGCTCCTGGACAGGTGGCCGGCGGCTGGGTCACAGAGGACAGCCCTGGGTCCTTAGGCCAATGTTCTTTCCTGAGGCTCCCGCCAGAGCCCTGGGAGTTGGCGCGCGCAATATTTAAGGTCAAGGCTGGACTGCACTGTGACTTTCTAAACTCTTAAAGCTGAAAAAGGGGGCACCTCCTTTCATGCACCTCCCGGAGCTGCCGAGGGTCAGCAGGGGGCGAGGAGCTTTGGAAAGGGGACCAGGCTGAGCCCCCGTGACCCCCGAGTATGAGCAAGCTGCTACCCAGCCAGGGTGGGGACTGATGAACAGGCTGACGTTTGTACTTGGGGTTGGTCCAGTCCTCCTCAGCTTCCTATCTGAGACGCCATCTTTAGCAGCGTACCTAGAGTGGTGGAGAGCTGGCGTGAGCTTGAGGGGAGCAGCTTCACCTCAGCACGAGGCCTGGTGGTAGTAGGACTCTAGGGTGGAACCAGGGGCACGCAGGCTCCCCACTATTATGACTGACGCTGTTGGATTAAAGGGGTTTGTAATTGCTCACCGGTGAGCATTTATTAGGCTAATAGTGAACCTGTTAGCAGAAGCATAGCCTGGTGGCCCATGTTAGAGTATTTAGTAGACGTTTCCATGTGCCATGGAATAAGTTTTTTAATTAAAACTGGAATGGTGGCTAATCTATTGCTAAGACTATCCAGCTTATTAATCAGTGTGAGTTTATTGTACTAATAGATATTCGTATACTTAATACTTCCTGAAATAATAGTAAGATGATAACAAAAATAATAGGAAAAACATAGACCAAGGGCGCTCACACATTCTCTCCCACCATTTGCACCCACCTTCAGGCTGCCCCACCCCTATACCCCCAAAGGAAGATGTATCTGGCCCTGCCACAGCCCAGAGCCACCGCCCTGATGCTGCCCTTCCTGCCTTCCTGCCACGCTCTCCTCCAGGGAGCACCCCGTAGGAGGAACAGTGAGGAGCAACCCTGCGCCAGCAGGTGGTAATGGTGGACCTTTCCAGACTCTGCCCCTCAGCAGGGGCTGATGGAGAAGGGCTGGGGCTTTGGCAGTTAGATCAGGGGTATCTGTGGAGAAGCCACCATCTTGCCACCCACAACTTCAGCTTGCACCTCAGTCTCTGCTCAGCGGACACTCTCTGGTAGTACAGCCAGCTTCGGGCCATGCGCTGGCCTGTGAGTCCTCTCCCTGTCTCCCCCTCCCCGTCCCCGTCCCGCTGGCACCTCTCCTGTTTCTGTCTGTGTAAAGAAATCCTGTGACTGTTGTTTCTGCCCATGTGTCTGATTTGGGTTGTGTCTGCGTAAGTATGTGGGTGTGCGCCCACCAGCTGGACCAACCTGGAGGCCCCCAGTTTGATGTTTCAGTTTGGTGCCAAAAAAAGAGAAGTAAAATTACACCCAACGTGCAACGCAAACCTTCATCTTCCCATCACACGTCTGAGCCCAACATTTCCACGGGCACCATCTGTACCCATTTCTGCATCCTCCAGAGCCCCAACAGCACCACAAACAGGAAGCCCAGGGGCACAAACAGCCCCCTTAGCTTTTCTTGTGACTTAACCCCCATGGGGGCCCGCGTGCTCGGGCAGCTGTGCTCCTCGCTGCTCCCCCTGGACGGGTTCTCCCCTCCGGGCCTGGTGAGGCGCCTGCACCCACCGCGAAGTGGCCAGGCTGTGGTTCGCCTGCGCTGGCGAGCAGCTGCCAAGCTGCCCGCACAAAGGGGAAATTAAATGTAGGCTCAGATTTTAAAAAAAAATATTTTTTCACAAAAATTAAAATTGTGAAAATCAAAAATTAAAAGCCAAACTCGAAACCAAGTTTGTTTCTCCTCCGCTGCACGGACTCAGTCAAATTCCCAGCGCGGGGAGCGACGCGGGCTGACACCGCCCGGCACCTCGGGCTCCGGGGGAGGAGGCCGACGCAAGGGCCCCCTAAACCTCCCTGGCGCCCGCGGAGGTCTCCCCTTCCCTCTCGACTAGGGGCTCCCGGCGGGAGGGGCTCCTCCTCGGCACCCCCGGCGGTGCGCACTTCAGGGCCCGAGACGCGGCCCGGCCTTCAGCGGGCGGGGGCGGCGAGGCAACCGGGGGCCCCGCCGGGAGACCCCGCGTTGGCCGGGGCTGCGCGGCCTCTCCCGCCGCGGCTCGGAGCGGCCCCAGCGCCGCCCAAGGCTCCTCCCCGCGGCCCGCACCCCGGGCCTCAGGCCTTGTGTGGCCGCCGCCTCCGGGACGAGCGCCAGCCCCAGGCGACCTCCCGCCAAGCCCCACGGACAGGGCGGCCCGCGAAGCGCCCGCACGGCCCCGGCCGCCGGCCCGCTCCAAGATGGCGCCCCGCACGGCCCGGGCCGCCCGCGCGCCGCGCCCGCAGAGCCGCTCTGTTGGGTCACGTGAGGGCCGCGCGCGGCGATTGGCCGCCCGCTGGTGACGTCAGACGCCCGCGCGGCGGCCTCGGCCCGGCTCGCGGCGGTGCGGGCGCGCGTCCGGCCTGGCGCGGGGCCTCGGCGGCGGCGCGGGCGGCGGCGCCGCTCACACCCATGAGGAGCCGCAAGGTGAGCGCCGGGGCCGGGGCCGCCCGCGAGGTGGGCTCGCGCCGCGGGGCGGGGAGCGGACGGGCCGCGTCGGGCCGAGGGCGGCCGCCGCCCGGGCCTCCGCGCTGGGATGGGGCCGCGGGCCCCGCCCCGCACCCCGACCCCGCCCCGCCCGTGCCCCCCGCCCCGCGACCCCGCCCCCCGCCCCCCGCCCCACCCGTGCCCCCCGCCCCACCCGTGCCCCCGCCCCGGCGGACCCCGCCCCGGCCCCGGCCCTCCAGCCCTCAGCTCCGCCCGCGACCCCGGCTCGCCCCGCGCGGGGAGAGGGTCGGGCTGCGGGGCGCGGCGGGGCGGGGCGGGCGCGGCGGGGCGGGGCGGGCGCGGCGGGCCCCCTGCCCCGGGCCCTGACACCCCGACACCCGGGGCGGCGGGGCCCCTCGGGAGTCGGCGAAGCGCGCGGCGCGCGTGGGGGCCCCGCACCCCGGGGTGGCGGAGGGCCGGGCGGCCGGGGCGGGGTCTCACCGCGCGCCCCAGCTCGCAGGTGCCGTGCGCTCCTCGGCGCGGCCCGCAGCTGCTCCGCCAGGTTGGCCTCCGCCCCGGACGTCGCGGCCGCCGCGCCCGCCAGGCCCGCTTGCCAGGTGAGGGGACGGGGGTGTGGGGTGGCGGGACTCGCTCACCCCGCGACGGCTGGGCCGGGCTGGGCTCTGCTCCCCGCGCTGCGCGGGTGCCCTCCCTGGGCCGCGTATCGCGGGGGCACGCGAGCGGCGGGGGGACTGGAGGCAGTGGGTGCCCTCCGCCCCCGGCAGGCAACGCAGCGCCCAGGGGCGGGGTGGCCTCTGGCTGCTCTCCTGGCCCTGGAGCCGGCTGGCTCTTCCTCATGGCCCCCTCCCCGCAGCCCTCTTCCTCACACAGAGCTGCCGACCGGCGGGCCTCCAAGAAGTTCAAGTGCGACAGAGGCCACCTGGCCAGATCGGAGTTACCGGAGCCGGTGCCTAAGGGTGCTGGTGCTGCTCTGCCTGAAGTGTCCCCAGACGCCCCTTGTAAGAATGAGCCCCTGGAGCTTGCAGAAGACAGGGCACTGCCCCCCCAAATGGAGCCGACCCCTCCGCACAGCAGGAGGCCAGTGGCCTTCCCCTGGGCAGCAGCCGAGCCAGCAGCGAGGCCAGCGCCACAGGGACTGAGGACGGCCCAGCCCCGCCCGCGACCGATGCCGAGTCCGGAGAGGTCGAGAGCGGCTGCCTCTCCAGGGACGACCCGGTGCCGGAGGCCCCACCCCAGGGGTCCCCGCTGCAGATGGACAACAGCGTCTTTCTGGACGACGACAGCAATCAGCCCATGCCCGTGAGCCGCTTCTTCGGAAACGTGGAGCTCATGCAGGTAGGCGGTGCTGTCGGGGCTTCCGCCTCACTCCAGCGGGTCCCCCAGCTCACGGAGCTCAAGCCTCCACCCAAGGGCGAGTGCACTGGTGCATGCAGGGCCCCGCAGGAGAGGGAGGCCTCTGCCGATGTGGGGCACCCAGCTGGGGGTCAGGCCAGAGCGAGGCTTTCCTTGTGGACGCCCCTTTCCTTGTTGACCCACCGTCTGCTCCTTCTCACTCGTGAGCCCGATGGGGACGAGCGCACAGGTGTTGGGGCCCGACCTGGGCGGCGGGGCAGGGCTGGCTGTGAGCGGGCGCCTTCTCCCCAGGACCTGCCACCGGCCGCCTCTTCATGCCCCTCCATGAGCAGGCGCGAGTTCAGGAAAATGCACTTCAGAGCCAAGGACGACGACGAGGACGAGGACGGCGCCGAGGTGTGAGGTGTGGCGGCAGGGACAGGACTGTGGGGCCTGAACCCCAGATGGCGTGTCCCCGCTCAGGCCGCGCCGGCCGTGGAAGCCGGGGTGCAGACAGGGCAGCGCGACGGCTCGGCCGCAGTGGCGGGGTCACGAGGCCTCGGAAGGAAACTAGAGCGGTCTGGTTTTGACGGCGGCAGGTTTAGTTTCCATTATCAAAACTTGATCATTCTTGTGATTAATTCGATGCCAGTTCTTAAAGAACTCACTTTTATTTCTGTACCTGAAGCTAATGTTTACCTTGGAAACTTTGCAAAGTACAGACGAGAAAGAAATAAAATATATTTTAAAAATGTTTTCTAAGAAGTCTCCTGTCCTGAACCGTTCCTTCCTAAAGGGGAGAGCGCGGCCCGCCTGTGGGGCCGGGTCTGCCTTTGCAGCCACGGGGCAACCAGAGAGGCACGGTGAGCAGAGCGCGGGACGCCCTGTGGCTCCCAGGGAGGTGTTACCCCACGAGCTGCTCTCCAGGGACTAGCCCTTTCAGCCCCCCACGTACACAGGAGCATCTGGGGGTGCACTTGTGCCTGTGGAGTGGGGTGCTCACCTCCAGGTCCACAGTCACACCTGGCAGCCCCCTGATACCTGTTCAGTCTTCCCAGAAGTAGGCCCCGAAGTCTCAGTCCCTGGCTCCTCTGCAGCGGCAGCTGGAGGGAGTGGGGCTGAATTCCCAGGACTCCTCACGCCCATCCCGAGGGGCTGCCACAGTGAAAGACGCCCCTGGTGTGTCCTCAGTGCTTGCCACGGTGACAGGAGCCGGTGTCAGGGATGGCAGAGACCAGGTACGCACATCTCCAGAGGAGCGTCCCGGAGGGGCCTGCCCCAGGGGCGGCGGGAGAGCTGTGGGGAGCAGGAAGGGGGCCGCTTAACGGGCCGGCAGCGCCTCAGCCACAGGCGTGTCTCAGGAGGCAGAGACGCGTGTCACAGAGCAGGTAATTTGGGGGCACCATGCGGTGAGGTGCCCAAGAGAGGTTTTGGGTCTGGCCCCTGGACAGTGAGTTCCCAGCAGCCACCCTGCCGGCAGCTGACCCTGCCTAAGTGGCCTTGGGCCTAGGGACCCGGCTGATCTGTTGGAGCGTGCTTGTGGAGGCTGGGGCGGGCCAGCGGCCCACTGCCAGGTGAGGTGACTAGGCAACTACTACGCGTCCTGCACCCAATTGGGAGGGGGCACCTGGGGCCAGGCTCTGCAGGAAGCGCCCAGGGGAGTGGTGCGGGGCCTCCTGTGAGTTCCAGCCCCCACACCCCAGAGCTGGGCCTGCTGGGCACTGTCCAGTGTGAGACGTGCAGGCCCCACCCCACTTTCTCCGGGCCCCTCGTGCAGGCCCCTTGCAACTCGGCTGGGAACGAGATTTTTGGCTTCTGGCCTCTTGGAGAAGTGAAGCCAGAAGAAATCAGGTGGGGGGAAGGTGGGCAGGAGCTGAGAGCCCTGCAGGCAGCGGCCACAGAGAAGGACCAGTGCCGTGTGCACAGAAGCCCATCCGCCCCCCGTGGAGCGGGAGGGTCCCTCACCATCCCTGGGACCGAACAACCTTTCTTACTCCACACATGGAGTGGGCCGAGCTCCAGAGTTCCTGGGCCTGTGTGGGAGCCGCTGAGAGGAAGCAGGCGCCCTGACAGCTGCGTCCACACCCCCTCTGGCCTAGCAGACGCCACACACCTGAGCCCCGACGGCGGGCTTCCCTGAGTGCAGGGGTCCCGAGAGGTGCTTCTGTAGTCGGGGAGCAAATGGGGCCACTGGGGTCAATTTTTTTCAAATCATGGATCTTTATTTTCATCCCTATTTCAGCTATTCGCATAAAGCGCCAACTTTCCTGAATTTTTCAAAAATATTTTGTTATTTCATACATATGTATAAAAATGCAAACGTTACAAAACGTCCAACTTTCAAAAGTGAATTTTTTTTTTTACATTTTAAAAGGACACGTTTATCCAGAAAGGGAGGAAGAGGCACCTGCACAGCGACCGGGTGGGGGGTGTGAGGGCTCCTCAAAGTGAATTTTTAGAAAGTATAAAATATGCCCCTTTTTCAGAAACTTCAAGTATTATCAACACATGATTCCAAACAGCCCCCGGTGGGCCTGCCCCTCCGCCGCTGTCCCGTGCGTTCTGGGGTACAAAGCAACCCCTGAGGGTCACAGCACAGCTGAGCATTCAGGAGCCTGCAGAGGTGGGCGGAGGCCCCCCCCATCCCAGGGCAGATTCGGGACACTCGGCTCTGCCCAGCGCAGCGGGTGCAGAGAGCTGCTGCGGGTGGTGAGCGGCCCCTGCTCGGAGGGGCACCCCGCTCCCCGGGACACGGGCCCCTGCAGCATAAAAGCAGGTTCAGAAATGCCCTACGTCACCTTTGCAGAAAGACGTAAGTTTTTTTTGGAAACTACCGGCGGTGGGACCCTGAAGCGGCCCCTGCCGGCCCCCGCCACGCGGTCAGCGGTGCTGGGGAGCCGGCCGCTTCCTCCTGCGCGCCCCCTGGGGCCTGTAGACCCTGGCGGGGTCGCAGCTGAGGCCATGGGTGGTCTTCTTGTGGCAGGCGATGTGGACCAGCTTCAGGTTCTCGCAGGTGAAAAGCAGGCCGTAGAAATACTCCCAGTCGACCTCCCTCCCGTTCTGGTCCCTGACGGCCGCGGCCAGGGCAGGCACGACCGTCCGCTTCTTTTCTATTCTGCAAAGCAAGGTCAGGGCCAGTCACCGCCGCCAGCTCCCCGCTCGTCCCGCTCGGCCTCAGCCAGCTGAGCCAGTCCCAACCGGGTGGCCAGAGGCGAAGGAGGAGCACGTCCCCTGCGGACGGGGCTGGCGGGAGGTGGGCACCCAGGGGCCCCACGGGCATGGTCCAGCGGGTGGCCCCGGCAGGGCTGGCACTGGAGCAGCACTGGTGGGCGCTGGAGATGCCCCCAGAGTCTCGGTGTCCCGCCCAGTGAGGCCACACCTGCCAGGTCTCACCTTTAAAATTTTCTAATACTGAAGAACACACAAGAAAGAGTTGGCGTCAGCCCCGTTCCCAGCACAATCGCTCCCACGGCTGATGGGACCCTGTGCCCGAGGCCGCGCCCTCCCGCCTGACCGCGTGTGGCGCGCATGGGCGTGTCTGCAAGAGCTGGCCCGGCCCCGTGTGAGCGTGTCGCGTTTACACGCTCCCAACGCCGGAGCTGCGAGTCTGAGCGAGAAGGGGTGAGAAGTCCCCCGAGGCGGCTGTGCCCAGGTGGGGGGAGGCGCCCTCACTGGGGGCTGAGCGAAGGGCACCTGAAGGAGACGCGCTGTGCTCAAGAAGGGGTTCCGGGTGGCAGACAAGGCGTGGCCAGACGGGGCTCCCGGGACGCTCAGGCCGGGGAGGGGGCCCGAGCCACAGGGAAGGAATGGGGCCTCGACTGTCACGTCTTCACGATCTTCAAACCCTGGTCTCTGGCCCAGCTCTGGCACAGGCACGCCCTCCCAGGGGGCAGGGGCCGGGAGCCGCGCCGTCCACTGGCGCGACTCTGCGGGGCCCTGGGTGGAGACGGGCCCCCCGGCCCCCCCAGCCTGTGCCCTCTCCACCTGCCGTCCCCCTGCGTCCATCTCTCATCCTTTCAGACATCGGGACACCGAGCCGCCGCTTCCGAGGCCCCTGAGCCTCCCCGCAGACTAACAGAACCCAGGAGGGCCGTGGGTCCCTCCGATCGGCAGCCACGCTGGCCAGAGGTGTGACCCTGGGCCCGCTACCTGTGGGTGGTGTGGGGGCACAGTCTGGGGCTGGCGGGGCCTCCAGGGGGGCAGCGCGGGACCTGAGCTCAACTGTAGACCGGCTGGGCACAGAGACCCCATGGTGGGGACCCCGCATCTTGTGCCGGGGTGATGTGCTATGAGAATACGTGGCTGAGGAACACAGTGGGCAGCAGGAGCGCCCGAGGCTGCCACCTTCTCAAGCAGGAGCGGGGACGAGATAAGCGTTTCCTTATGCTCAAGGGAGAGCTGTAGCTTAAGGGAACTTTCTGCTCTTTCGTCCAGAACAGACCGTCCTACAGTCCACCTGGGACAAGACCCACCGGCCGAGACTTGTGCCTGTCGAGGCAGGGGATGCCCCGTGACCTCCCTGTCCCTGCCCGTGAGCGCCCCAATTTGCCCGCAGGTGAGGGGGACACTGTTGGGCGGGGGCTGGGCCAGCTCCTGCAGAGCCGCCGCCCCCGGTCGGGGAGGAAGTCACTGTGCCCATGAACCTCTGGCTCCATCACCCACATGCTGGGCCTTAGAAGCCCACGGCCACTGGGGGGACAAGCCGACAGCACCCCGGGGCACGGACCCAGCTCCCGGTCATGTGACACTCACACGTGGTCCAGGTTCCAGGTGCTGAAGAGGACGCGGCTCTCGCGGTTGCCGTAGGGGTTGATGGAGTGTCTGGACGCGCAGCCGTCCGCGTCAAAGGGGCCCTGGGCGAGAGCACACGTGGGCCGGGTGGGTCTGCAGCACGGGCACCGCCCGGCCCCACCGCCACAGGCGCCTGGTCCACGGGGCGACTCACCTGGCAGGAGAACCAGCCCTCGGGCGTGCAGAGCCGGCCGCCCGCCTCCGCGCTCCTGTCGAAGTAGCTGCCGTTGTACTGCGCGGCCCGCAGTTTCTGGGCCATGGCGTCCACGACCCGCTGGTAGGCCTCCCGCGCCCGCACCCCCTCCACGGAGGCGTGCGCGCTCACCTGCAGCAGCCAGGAGCAGGGTGAGGGCTCCGGCCCGCGCAGGTCCTGCCCCGGGACCCTGCCTCCCGGGCCCACCCCTCATGTCCCAGTACGGGCCTGTGTGAGGCGCCCGAGCGCAGCCCCGAAGTGCCTCTGGGCCGGAAGCTGGGACGCAGTGAGGGTTGTCCCGGCACCCATCCCCCGGGCTCCCACACCACCCCCTTCCCGTCCCCTGGGGGCTCCCGCTGCAGCAGGGACACACCGGGAGGCCAGGGCCAGGGCGGGACGGCCAGGACCTCGCTCTGGGCCCAGCGCCGCGCGGCCGGAACCCACCTCCCTCAGGTAGCTGCGGATGCGGCTCTCGCAGCTGTACCTCAGGTAGCTGCACTTGCTCCTGAAACGGGCCTCCAAGCCTGCCAGGGAGAAGGGAGGGTGGCGGGGCCCGCAGGGCAGCTGGCGGCCGCTCCCTCTAGCAAGTTCCGGTAGCGCCCCTGGGTGTGTTTGCTGGCAAGGTCCTCTGGGCCCCCAGCGTGGAGTGTCCCAGAGGCCAGCAAGGGGCTTCTGCAGCAGCTCCTCGCGCCTCCTTTCCCGCCAGGCTGTCCCCCGTTCCACGAGGCCGACGGCCGCCCTCAGGTGGCGATGACCGCGCCTGGTGGTGGCTGAGCCCCGGGGACTCCGCGCCGCGTGAACCGGCCAGGCCCAGGGGACGCACTGCCCGCGCCACGGCTCGGAGCCCGGGCGGCACAAGTGGGGGCCGGCGTCCCCGGGGTGGTCACTCAGGCTGGGACACCCGGGCGCCCTCCCCCGCGGGGGGCAGGCGGTGACCCGAGGCCAGGGCGGGGTGCGGGCGCCGCGTGGGGACAGGGCTGCAGACGGGGGCGCGGGCTCGCGCGGGCGGGACGCTGACCCGCGAGCTGGCGCTGACCCCGCTGAGGGCGACCCCGGCTCGCCGCGTTCGCGCCGCGCGGGCCGACCGGGGCCCGGCCGGGCCGGGCCGGGCCGAGACCAGGCCGGGCCCGCCACGCGTGGGGGAGCCCCGTCCCCAGGCACCTTCAAACCAGGCGGGGTCCTGGGCGCGGGTCTCGGCGGCGATGTTCCCGCTGGCGCTCAGCAGCAGGTCGGCCAGGAGCTTGCGCCGCAGCGGGGCGCGCTCGTCCGCCAGCAGCTGCCGCGCGGCCCGGACCAGCCCCGCGTGCGGCCGGTGGAAGGCGCCGAGCAGGCGGCGGATGTCGCTCGCGTCTGCGGGGCGGAGAGGCCGTCGGCGGGCGCCGGGTCCCCGCCAGGCCCAGGGGTGACCCCCGCCCCCCCGCGCCCCCCGCGCCCCCCGCCCCCCGCCGGGCGGGCCACTCACAGCCCTGCCAGGTCTGGCCCTCGGCGAGCAGCAGCAGCTCCGCGTGGGCGGGCGCGGCCCGGAAGCCGTCGGGGGTCAGCTCCGCGCCGTCCTCGCTGCGGCACAGGCGGGCGCCGCGCTCGGGGAGCTGCGGGCGGGAGGGCGGGCGTCGCGCCGGGCCGCGGGGGGGGGGCGCGGGGGGCCGGGCCGCGGGGGGGGGAGGGGCGGGCGCGGGGGGGCCGGGCCGCGGGGGGCCCAATCGGACGCGGGAGAGCCCCGGGAACGCGCGCCGGGGCGGGTGCGCGGCGGCCGGGCGCCCCGCGGGAACGAAGCCCGCGCCCCCCGCCCGGCGCCCCCCGCCCGCGCCCCCCGCCCGGCGCCCCCGCCCGGCGCCCCCGCGCACCTGCAGCAGGCGGCAGCCCTTCCGCAGCACCTCCGCGGGGCTCCGGCCCGCCACCCCGAACTTCTGGGTCCCGAGCAGGGCCCGCAGCTTGAAGGTCCTGAGCTTCCGGGGCGCAGCGCGCATCCTGGGGGGTCCGCGAGTGCGCACGGTGGGCTCCGCCCACGGGACCGGGCCCAGGCCCGAAACTGCACCGCCCAGAGGGCCCGGGACGCGGGCCCGCGCGGAACCCCCTTCCTCGGTAGACCGGGGCAGCGGGGCGCGGCCAGCGCGCGGCTCCGCCCTCTGAACTACATTACCCAGAAGCCCGGGCAGCGGCGCGCCGGCTGCGCAGGCGCAGGGGCGGCGCGCAGGCGCGGAGGGCCGGGCCGCCTGGCCTGGTTGTCATGAGAGCGGCGGCCGCGGCGCGGCTGAGGGGCGCGGGCGGCCCGGGCGGCTCCTCGGCTGCCTCCGCCGCTGCGGCTCGGGGGTGCGGGGACGACGCCGCCTGAGCTCCGCCGGGGCGCGCCGAGGCCGGGCTGCCCGCGCGGGGGGGCCGGGCCGGCGGGCCGCCGTCCAGCAGGTACCGCGGCCGCGTTCCGAGCCGGGCGCCGCGGAAGGGCCGGGGCGCTCCCCCGACCCGGCTCCCCAGACCCGGCCCGGCCGAGGGGGCCCGCGGCGTCGGGCTGGGGCCGCGCGGGGCGGGCGGGGCCCCGGCACAGCCGCGCTGCTGGGGTGCGGCTCCGCGCGGCGGGGGGGCCGGGGCCCCGGCCGGGCTGTGCCCCCGCGCTCCCGGGCCGGCGCCGCGGGAACTGGCGCCCCTGCCCCGGCGGCCCCAGGACCCGAGCCCGCGGCGCCGGGGCTTCCCCAGGTGAGCGCCGGGGGCGCAGGACGGGCCGCCGGGCCCGCGCGCGTCCCGGGGCGCTGCAGGCGCGAGGGAGCGTGTCCCAGCCCCGCGCCCCGGGCCGCGCCCCCCGCGCCAGGCGTTCTCCTGCCCGGCGGGCGCTGCGGGCAGCACCGGGCCCGCCCTCCCGAGACGACCCCGCGCGCGGTCGGGCCTCCCTCCGGGCCAGGGGTCCGACCTCGGGGTCCACACCCGGGCGGCGGGCGAGGCCAGAGGCCTGAGCCCGCCGGGCGGAGACGGCCCCAGGCCGCCCCTGGCCAGCCTTTCCCTGCGCCGGCTCCTCGTCCCCGAGCGGAGGTGACAAACCCACATCAGAGGTTTTGTGCGGGCGCGAACCGAGCCGAGCGCTGAGCCGGGTCCTGGCACCCGGCGCTGGAAAGAGAGCGCCCCGGAGCAAGGCCTGCCAGGGGAGCCCCGCGCGGGCGTCTCGGGTTTTTAGAACTTCAGACCTGCCAGCTCGTCTGTGTAGTAGATGCCCTGAGTTAGAGCCCGTCTTCCAGGCAGGACGGCGAGTCGCAGACCCGGCTCTGAGAAGCACTGGCGGGAGGGGGGCGTCAGCAGGGGTGGGCTGGTCGGTAGAGCTCGGGCTGAAAGTGAGGGTTGTCGGGTGGGAGCCAGGAGCCTCCTCCCTCCCCTGGCTTGGGCAGGGCATGGATGGCAGCAGCCTGGGTGGTCCAGGGCTCCTGGGACGGGAGTGCTGGCCTGGGTGTGGGTGTGTCCAGAAACGACAGGGGCATCGAGGACAGGCAGGACCGCCCGGGAGGGGGCTGACCGCCCGGGAGGGGGCTGACCACAATTGGAAGCCGGCATTTCAAAGGCCTCCCCCGCCCTGACAGCCCAGCAGGCAGGATGCCGCACAAGATTGGATTTGTGGTCGTCAGCTCATCTGGGCATGAGGACGGCTTCAGCGCCCGGGAACTCATGATCCACGCGCCCACCGTCAGCGGGTGGCGGTCCCCGAGGTGGGCTGGGGGCAGGGGCGGAGGGAGGAGGGTGCTGACAGCATGCGGGCTTCTTGCACCCCAGCTCCCGTTTGTTTTTTTTTTTTTTTTTAAAGATTGATTTATTTATTTATACAAGCACTGGGTACAGTCAGAGGCACAGGAGGGTGAGAGAATTCACCAGAGCCAGAGCTGAGAGTAGAACAGGCAGACTGACGAAGTACACTGCTGAGGGGAGCAGCGGGCGGCAGGAGAGGTCTGCGCGCCATGTGGGACCCTCCTCCGGTGGCCAGGGAGCAGCCGGGGATCGAACCGGCACTGCAGAGGCTGCGGGCAGCTTCGCAACCCAGCGCTAAACCGCTGCGCCACCGGGGAGGCCCCCCGATTGTTTTCTTTTCTTGAGCTTGCTTTGTCGTCAGAATGCAGTGTGTGATCCGGGTAACGCACTTGTCAGGATGGCGGGTCCTCCGTTGACAAGGCTGTGGCCACACACCTGTCGGCGGCCAGGCCGTGCTGACATCTGGAAATCCCCATAGTTGTCATGTGATCAGGCGGGAAAAGCAAACGTATTTGCTTTCAGGTTTTGCCAATTTCCACAAGAAATTGTTCTTCAGATGGTGGAGAGATGTCGGATAAGGAAACTGCAGTTACTGGCACACCAGTATATGATCTCAAGCAAAATCGAGTTCTACGTGAGCGAGAGCCTGCCGGAGTATTTCGTTCCTTACCAAGCAGAGCGCTTCCGAAGACTCGGGTGAGCGGACAGCTCCGTGTGGGGTGGCGCTGGCCCCCAGGGCCCTGCTCGGGCAGGGAGGGGCAGTGAGGAGCTGTGCGTCCCCCGGCCCGGGCTGTGACAGTCCCCTCTCTCGGGGCTCTGCGTGTCAGGCTTCCCCCGGGACCTGGCAGCCACGTCCTTATGCCCCGCGCGGCTTGGCAGGAACAGCACCGACGTGGGCTGGCAGGTTCGCCTCCGGCTGCCTCCTTAGATCTTCTCCGCTTAGAAGACCTTCCTTTAAGCCTGCCGGTGGGGGGCCAGGGCACGGTGGGGCTCCCATGTGACACAGGTGCCGCCCTATCTTCCAGCTACGTCTCGCTCTGTGACAACGAGAAGACGGGCTGCCGCGCCCGCGAGCTGAAGTCAGTGTACGTGGACGCCGTGGGGCAGTTTCTGAAGCTGATCTTTCACCAAAACCACGTCAACAAGTACAACATCTACAACCAGGTGCGGGGCTTCTGCAGCTCTGCTCCCCTCCACAGAGCCTCCTTCCGGGGTGTCAGCTAAGGGCCTCTGGGGCAGTACTGTCCCTTGGGAGCCTCAGGGACCTGTGGCCCCTGCACTGGGATGTGGCTGGTCCACCAGACGTGTCGTAGGCCAGCTCAGGCACAGAGGTGGCCCCCAGGGCAGCAGACGATGGCACCTGGGCCTTTTCTGCCCCAACCCCCACACACTCGCTGGTAACTCACTTCCCAATCTGCCAGGATCACAGGAGGTGCCCCGTAGCCCCTAGAGCACTGGTCAGTGCACGGCGTAGTCCAGCTGGAGGGTTTTGGCTACTGTCGTAGCATCTTTAAACGTCAAGGTGGTGTTTTGGTTCCACGTTACACCGTTTATGTGCATGACTTACAAAACCCGCTAGTCCTGTATCGTAGCGTGCTCCCTTACAGTTAACACCCCTTCCCGCCTGCCACCAGCAGGTCAGCGGGCGGTCCAGGGGCTAGGCCACCTGCCAGCTCGGCTCTCTCGTAGGTCGCCCTGGTCGCGATTAACATCATCGGGGACCCGGTGAATTTCGGAGACGAAGGCCACGTCGTAAGTGTGGGGAGGTCGACTCCAAAGGGCTCTCTGGCTTTGCCGCAAACGGTTCCTTGCAGACCTTTCTCCAGGTGGCTCGCGGCCGCACAGGCAGTGCGTGGGGCAGTGCGTGTGCTCACCCTGCTGTCGCAGGAGAGCCCAGCCGTCCCTCCCAAAGGCTGGGGGATTGGTGTCAGGTCACCCCTAGTTTTGGGGTTCTTCTCTTCCTCTGAGATGCTGAGCAGAATATTTGCTCCCGAGACCTCTAGGGAGAAGCTGATCGACCACTACCTGGGGCGCAGCGCAGAGGACCCGGCGCTGGAGGGGACATGCTCCGCGTAAGGCCTCCCCACCTCCCCGTGGGCGGTCAGTCCGCGCCGCCCCTTGCGCCACAGTGTTGATTCATGCCCACTAGTTTTCCTAATCACGGGTGACTTGAGGCGCTTCTCCCCGGTTCAGCTCCACCTGTTCTCTCTTGAGGGCCACGGCCCGGCTCCTGCAGCTCCCGCGCTGGCCTCTCCCCCAGCACAACCACTCAAGCCACCCCTCCCCGGCGTGTTTCCTTCACGAGGTTGCTCTGCTCTGTGGCATCTGGCAGGGAGTCCCAGTGCCCTCTCGCCACCCTCTTGCTGGCCCACACGCGGCTCTTGATGTGATCCTACATGCGTGGGTAGTGGCGCCTCCTGCCTGTGGTGCTGAGCACCAGCGCTTGTCTGAGGCCTGTTAGGAGGCGCGCCGTGCCTCTGGTGGCCGCCAGGGGGCGCCCCGCTGGCCCGGGAATTCACCTCCCCGCCACACAGATTCACTGTCTTGGGGTTTTGGGTAAAGACACGAGGTCTGTTTTGTGTCCAGGCACTTAGGCCGCCTGGACTCGAGTGGACAGATAATCCGGGTAAAGTGGCTAACGAGGATCTGGGCCTGCTCCTCAGGCACTGCCCCTGCTGCGGGCGCCTGCCCCATGGGGGGCCTGAGAGGTGCCGTGGCCTGTGTCTGGTTGCACTTTGGATTATACACATCTGCCAGCTAGACTTCTTGATAAGTAACGCTCTAATCAAAGCGTCTCTTTATATGCAGACGTCGAGGCGAAGCTGGCCAGTCACCACCTAGAGACGCAGGTGGGGCTCTGACAGCTGCCCGGGCCACGTGGTCAGTCTTATGGCCAGCGCTGCTGTTGCAGCCGCTGCCCTGAGAGAGCCGACAGCTCCCCGCAGGCGGGAAGGCACACGGGAGCCGGTGCTGCTCCTGGAAGGACTCTCCTGAGCCCTGCAGGGCTTGCACGCGGCTCCCCCTCTGTCGCCGCCATGTGCGCTGACCTCGTGCGCGTGCTGTGGGCCAGAACAGCACAGTCTACACGCAGGCCGTGTGCTCGCTGACTGAGTAAGCGCATCTACCCAGGGCCCAGCCGCCCAGGGGCGCAGGGGAGCCAGCGTCAGGGCGCAGCTTCTCAGTCAGACAGACCTGCCTGCCCAGAAGAGCCATGGTCCTGCCGCCCGTACCCCGTGCCCCTGCCCTTGTGTCTTCTCTGGCCGGGCACGCTCCCCCATCAGGCCTGGCTGGGGCCCCTCCCGACTGTCTCCACGGCCCACCGTGCAGCCACAGGGGTGGAGCCAGTCTAAAGCGCTGGCTTCTCCTCCTCAGGAAGTCCGACTACATCTCTCCACTCGACGACCTGGCCTTCGACATGTACCAGGACCCCGAGGTGGCGCAGATCATACGCAGGCTGGACGAGCGGAAGCACGAAGCTGTCCAGAAGGAGCGCTACGACCACGCCAAGAAGCTGAAGCAGGCCATCGCTGACCTGCAGAAGGTGGTCCCCAATACCTCCTCCCGGGCCGTCCAGGTGGGACCCCCACATGCTTGAAGCGGAGGGGCGTGGGGGGGTTCATGGGAGCTGAGCACAGTCTGGTGCCAGGCTGGGGAGTGTCAGGGCAGAGCCCGGCACACTCGCGTCCTCCTTGGCCGTGGGGGGCACGCGTGGCAGGAAAGTGAGATGACCGTGAACTCGAGGTGCTTTTTAGATGTGGACACAGCCGGGGCAGGGGCTCCGGCCCTTTAGTTTTCCGGCCGCCAACCTCCCCGGGCCGCGCGCCAGGCGGCATGCATCTTCTGAACCGCTGGCGGGTCGCACTGCAGGTGGGCGAGCGTCTGGGCCGGTACGAGGTGGAGAAGCGCTGCGCCGTGGAGCAGGAGGACTACGACCTGGCCAAGGAGAAGAAGCAGCAGATGGAGCGCTACCGCGCCCAGGTGTACCAGCAGCTGCAGCTGCACGACCTGGTGGGCGCCGAGCTGGTGGGCACTGGGCCGGGGCCCGGGCGGGTGGGGAGGAAAGCCTAGGGGGCTCGTATGGCCCTCACCCACACGAGCCTCTGTGATGCCCAGGACTGTCCACTGGTCACTTCAGCTGGGTGCTGGCCAGGTGGGGGTGTGTGGCCGGTGCCGGCAGGGGACCCACACTAAGGAAGCAGGGGGCGAGCCAGGCCTGGGGATGCAGCGCCTGTTTCCTGTTGGGACCGTGAACCGGTGGCAATAGCCCTGCCCACACCCTCGAGGTGCCCCCACTGCCACCCAACCACAGCGTAGCCTTGTCACCGGAGGCCAAGGCCCTGCACCCGGGGGTGGGTAAGCTCACGGGGACGCTCAGCTCTGACCACCGCCCTGCCAGCCCAAAGGTGCGAGCGGGGCCAGGCCACAGCCTCTGTGCCTCAGTGTCCCTGCCATGTCTGGGTGGAGGGGACAGGCGGGGTTCCTTACGTCCCCACACCTGCCGCGTGCCCCACATGCACAGACCACAGTGGCGATGACAGGCCAGACATGCTGCGTCTGCAGGCGGGGGCGGCAGTGCCCATTTTGAGCCTTAGTCTGTTTGGGCTGCTGTACACCCCATCCCCTCTCCAGGGCCCCCGCTGGGTGCGCATGCCCACAGGCAGGCATCTGCGGGGCACCCGCGGCCCTTGGGGGCTGCTCCCTGAGCTCTGGTTGGCCGGGCACGAGGCGGGCAGGGCTGCTGTGGCGATGACACTGGGAATTGAACGCCCCGTTTTTCCCCAGATTCGAAGGCCTTCTGATTTGCCCTTGCAGCCCCTGGCACACCCCAGCAGCCCTCGCCTCCAGCAGCCGGCGCTGTCGCCACCCCCGCGGGAAGGCAAGGCACTGGGAAGGCGGCTCGACCAGCCTTTACTTCAGGAAGAGCCCGCAGCGCATGCCCCAGACGAGTTTCCTCCGCGGGCCGCAGCAGAGCCACCACCTGCCGCAGACCACCCACTCCGGACCCAGGTGGGCAGCTCGGGGTCAGGTGTGTGCAGTGTACTCAGCAGACACACGGCGAGGACCGGGCGGTATATACCAGCCTGCCCCTTCCTGCCGCGTCCCAGGCCAGGTCAGCTTACTCTCAGCCCGCCCCAAGGCCCCACTGGGCGGCAGCCGTGCTGGGCGGCCACGCATCAGCCCCCAGTGGTGGTCTTGGACACGAATTATGCTTCATACCTCAGCTTTCCTCTCCCGCATGCATAGACACTGTTTACAGGCGTTTCGGGAGCAGATGAGTGTGTTTGTGAAACACCCACGTGAACCACCTTGGCAGAAGCACAGTCCCAGTCACGTGTGCAGTGGCTGCGCTTATTAGGCTGCTAGCACTCACGAGGGGCTTAAGTAGTTGTGTGGGTTTCAGGCTCAGTTTGACCCAAGCGCTCCACCATGGAAACCTGGTTTCCCCCGCCCGGATGCTGCTGTTCTGCCTCACATTGGGGCCAGCCACTGTCACGTGGCTCACCGCTTCAGCCGGTGTGGCTGCTGGGGGGGAGAGGGGCATGTGCCCTTCTGAGCAAGCATCCTTCTCTTGGTGGCCTTAGTCACAAGCCCGCCTCAAGGAGCTTCTCAGGACCTCCCTGCAGCTTCTGGTCTGCATGTCTATGTGGCAGTGCCTGGGGGCAGGAAGGAGGGGCACCAGGGGGCACAGGTGCATCCCTGTAACCAGGAGCCTGGGGTACACGAGCAGGTGTCTGCTGCCCACCATGGCCCCACACGTCCCAATGCCCTGGACACCTCATCCTGAAGTCATTGCTCTAAGCTGGGCTTATGCTTCCATTTAAAATACCGGTTTTTCTCTGCATGGCGTCTTGAGGGACTTTATGATTCAGTAAATTTAGTAACGTGAGAAACAGATTGTCACTCGGGGCATCCTCGGTGTCCCAACGAGTGCCATGTGAATGCACAGCCGCCCCTCTGCCAGCACGTGGGGCCCGCGCCAGACCAGGGCAGAGCATCCCCACCGCATCGGGAAGCTGCCCGCTCACTCATCTCACTGTGCCGTCTCCCCGTGCGAGCATCGGCCTTGGAGGCCGGGGTCCGTCTGGGCTCAGTGCCTGGGCCTGTGGGTGCTCGGTCAGTGTCGGCTGGCATCATGGGCGAGTGGCCGGAAGCTGCCAGCCCTGAGGCCTGGGGCTCCCCAGAGAAAGGCGGCCCCAGGGCATGCACCCCGACTGCTTGCGACGGCCTAAGGGGAGGTCAGTCCCGCCCCGGCCGTGCTGGTGTCAGAAGACAGGGCTGTCAGACCCTTGAGTCCAGAGCAGGGGCCTGCGGTGGGCAGCGTCCAGCTGGGCCCCCAGGGTGCTGTAGCCGCCCCCCCTTCCTCGCCCACAGCCCGAGCCCCTGCCCTACGATGAGCGGCCTCTTCCTGCCACGCGCAAGCAGCCCCCACCGGCAGCACCCGTGGAGCCAGAGAAGAGCGAGGCCGAGGCCAGCGAGGCGCCCAGAGGCGCGGTGGGGGAGCCCGAGCCCCTGACAGAGAAGGCCTGGCGGGAGGCCGGCCCCGCTGTCGAGGTGCTGGGCGAGGCCCTGGTGAGCGGGCACCCCTGGCCGTCCCTCCCCCTCACTGGGAAAGCGCCATGGGGGTCACTGACCACATGAGGTGGCAGACCCTGAGCCGGGACATGGGCCCGCGGGTGTGGGCTTCGGGTCTGGGCCCGCCCCAGTGTCCCCCGCGCCTGGAAGGGACCCGCAGCACCTGTCCGGAGCAGCATCCCCAGCGAGAGCCTGTGGTCACGGTCCAGGCCCCGGTTTCCAGGGCTCCCCGGGGCTGCAGTGCTGGCCCGTTGTACCGTGGCCTTCCGTCTCCCCGGCAGGAGCGGGATTTCTCTAGGCCCGCCTCTACTCCACGGAAGCCTTGTCGGGACAGAGGCTTGTGTGCGCGTGGAGCAAACCAGGGGTGGGCTGGTGTGGGGGCTGGCGTGGGGCGGGCCGGAGCCCCAGTGAAGGGTCGCCCTCGGCAGGTGGCCGGGGCCTACTCCAGGACGTGGTCGTTCCGCGAGGACGCGCTGCTCGCCCTGTACAAGCGGCTGGCGGAGGAGCCTGTGGGCGCCCCGCGGGAAGACCTCAGGAGCGCCCTGCGAGCCGCCGTCTTCCTCGTCAGAAAGGCCATCGTGGACATTGTCAGCCCGGTGAGTCCCACGCCTGCGGCAGGAGACAGCAGCCCGGGCGGCACTGGGCACCCAGCGCCCGGGGCGGGGTGGGGCCTCCAGGGGGTGCCCTCGCAGCCTGCTGACGTTGACGCAGCTCCCCGCACACCCGCCTCGCTGCCCGGCCTGTGACGGCCTCCCTCGTGGGTGCACTTCCCTTAGGTCTTTCAGGCGTCTCTGAAGCTGCTGAAGATGCTCATCACCCAGTACATCCCCAAGCACAAGCTGAGCAAACTGGAGACGACGCATTGCGTGGAGCGGACCCTGCCCGCGCTGCTCGCCAGGACCGGCGACTCCTCCGCGCGCCTCCGCGCCTGGCCGCCCGCTTCATCGAGGTACAGGTCGGGTCCTGCTCGCAGGTGCCCGCTCGGGACGCTGAACGCCACCCCCCACCACACCCCCCTCCGCCCCGTGACCTCCCGGTTCTCACAGCATCTGTGTGGTGCATGTGTGGCGCCGGGGGAGGACCCGGAGCCATCCGGTTCTCTGGGGAGCATCGCTTCCAGACGAGGAGCCGCGGGCCCGTCTCACTTGGGAGCTGCTGGGGGAGGGAACGGGAGAAAGAGACGTGGTTTGGCAGCAGGGGCCGGGCCAGGCCAGGCCGGCAGCCGGGTCGCCTCACACCGCATCAGTCCTGGGGCCGGCCCTTCTTCGCTGCTTGTTTTTGAGCCGAGTGGAGTCCGAGTCGCTCGGGAGAGCCGAGGGGCCTCTGCTGGAGGTCATGTTATAGGACAGGGAGAGGGGCAGCCCAAACCCCACAAACCTGCCTATTCTACATGGGTTCTGCCATCCGCCGCATCAACACAAAACATAGTGTTATAGGACAGGGAGAGGGGCAGCCCAAAACCCCGCAAACCTGCCTATTCTAAATGGGTTCTGCCATCCGCCGCATCAACACAAAACATATGAGACTTTAATGGGAAGGAACTTTAATTAAACTAGGAAACAACACAGGTAAGGCAAAAAGTCTAGTTTCTAAATGAAGCACCCAAAGTTACCCATCCCCTCGTGGGTAAAAGTCCATCCATATGGGATTGGCCCAGAGCAAGGCCCCAAGGCCTGCCACAAGTCTAAAGCATCTTCCAGTGGAGACCCACAGAAAAGGGTCACAAACAACTGGACAAGCCCGGAAGGAAAAGAGCAAAATCAACATCAAGATAAAAGCTGCCATGGTCACCTCCCCATGGGTCTCACCCACATCTGTGTCACCCCGTCCACGACCAAAAGACAAGCGCAGCTTCTTCACGTGTCTCTAGGCTCCATGCGCCTCCTCCAGGTCTCCTGGCTCCATCCTGCTTCCTTCCTTCCTCAGTCTCTTCTCCAGCTTCTCCTCTTCCTGCTCAGCTCCACCCTTCCTTGGGTGGGGCAGGGAACCTGGAACCTCCCCCTTTCCTGGGGACCACCCTGTTACAATACCAGCAATTGAACAAATCCAGTATTCAAAATGGCAAACATGCCCAAAACAAATTGTGTAGACAAAATTCACAGCAGCAAATCCTTTCAGACTCAGACAAAATCTTGTTAATTTTTCTGATCCAGACTTTGCAAAAATTCAAGTTATCTCCAAGAATCCATCAAGGATACCAGCGATTACCAGTTACTGCTTAAGGCTACTCTTTCCTTAACACCCAGGCATACATTTGCTAATTAAAACACCACCTCTCCACAGTTGGCTTGCAAAACCGGTCAGACACAGGGCAGGAAGTAGTCAAAGACAAAGCAACATACCACTGAAGAACCATTATTGCCTTTAGAAATGCTAATGAGACAGCAGAGATTACAAAAAGAAAGAAAAAAAAAGTTCCAAAGTCCTCAGACGCCATCTTTGATCTGGCCACATGGTCCAATGTACTGCCTAATCTTTTGAGTAAAACTGGCACAGAACAATTTCCACAAAATCAAATGTCTTAGAAAGTCACTACAAACAAATTACATACAGACACACAGATCTTCACAAAGCCCAAGCCAGTTTCTCAACAGCAAATCGACATATGAAACAAACACACCGGAGAAACCAAAAATCACATTTGCGCTTATGGTAGCCAGTGCCATAGGGAAGCCCAATTTCCCCATGGGGCTGACTAACCACGGATGGCTCTGTCCTAAATCTTCGTGGTCGCCAAATCTGTTATAGGACAGGGAGAGGGGCAGCCCAAAACCCCGCAAACCTGCCTATTCTAAATGGGTTCTGCCATCCGCCGCATCAACACAAAACATATGAGACTTTAATGGGAAGGAACTTTAATTAAACTAGGAAACAACACAGGTAAGGCAAAAAGTCTAGTTTCTAAATGAAGCACCCAAAGTTACCCATCCCCTCGTGGGTAAAAGTCCATCCATATGGGATTGGCCCAGAGCAAGGCCCCAAGGCCTGCCACAAGTCTAAAGCATCTTCCAGTGGGGACCCACAGAAAAGGGTCACAAACAACTGGACAAGCCCGGAAGGAAAAGAGCAAAATCAACATCAAGATAAAAGCTGCCATTGTCACCTCCCCATGGGTCTCACCCACATCTGTGTCACCCCGTCCACGACCAAAAGACAAGCGCAGCTTCTTCACGTGTCTCTAGGCTCCATGCGCCTCCTCCAGGTCTCCTGGCTCCATCCTGCTTCCTTCCTTCCTCAGTCTCTTCTCCAGCTTCTCCTCTTCCTGCTCAGCTCCACCCTTCCTTGGGTGGGGCAGGGAACCTGGAACCTCCCCCTTTCCTGGGGACCACCCTGTTACAATAGGAGACTTTAATGGGAAGGATCTTTAATAAAAACTAGGAAACAATACAGGAAAGGCAAAGAGTCTAGTTTCTAAATGAAGCACCCAAAGTTACCCGTCCCCTCGTGGGTAAAACTCCATCCATATGGGGTCGGCCCAGAGCAAGGCCCCAAAGCCTGCCACAAGTCTAAAGCACCTTCCAGTGGGGACCCACAGCAAAGGGTCACAAACAACCGGACAAGCCCGGAAGGAAAAGAGCAAAATCAACATCCAGATAAAAGCTGCCATTGTCACCTCCCCACGGGTCTCCCCCACATCTGTGTCACCCCGTCCACGACCACAAGACAAGCGCAGTTTCTTCACGTGTCTCTAGGCTCCACGCGCCTCCTCCAGGCCTCCTGGCTCCATCCTGCTTCCTTCCTCAGTCTCCTCTGCAGCTTCTCCTCTTCCTGCTCAGCTCCACCCTCCCTTGGGTGGGGCAGGGAACCTCCCCGTTTTCTGGGGACCACCCTGTTACAGTCACAGCCGCGCCGCCCGCCTGACGGCCAGCATGTGCCAGTCCTGCCCCTGCCGGTGCTCCCGCCGCGCTCCTGCCCGCCCGGTCTCTGCGTGCAGGTGGGCCAGGGAGCCCCGGGTGGCAGCTCTCACGGCAGAACTCATTCTTTAGGATTTTAAAAGTTAGAAAACTTTTTTCCTGAGGCCAGGAAGTCCTGAGAAAAGACAGCTCAGGGCCTGCACCCTGTGCTCTGTAAAGCTCAGGAGCCCGGGTGGGGCTCGCCCCTCGGCTTCTGCTGGCGGCCCTTCCGCCTCCCTGTTGACGGGCTTGCCGCGGCTGTTTTTTCCCTCAGGGTTTGCTTTGAGGGTCACGCTTAGTTGTACTAAGTTGCCTCTAGCGTTTTCCAGTAAAGAGATAACAAATCCTGTTGGTTTTTACAGGAAATGGCCTTGTTTAAGGAAGTCAGGTCTCTCCAAATCGTTCCCTCTTACTTGGTGCAGCCGCTAAGAGCAAACACCTCCACGCACCTGGCGATGGGTCAGATGGACCTCCTGGCCCGGCTGCTGAAAGACCTGGGCACCGACAGCTCCGGCTTCACCCTGGACGCCGTGATGAAGGTGAGTGCTGGGGCCGCGGCCGCCTCCACGCCCAGGGCCTGGTGTCTGTCTAGCAAGGCTTTGTTGGGGGGGGCGGGGTGTAGGTGAGTGGATGATGGTTTGTGAACGGCAGTGGGGGTGGATGGGGCATGGGTGGAGTGTGCACGGGGGATGGACCCCCCTGGTCTTTCTGCCTTTGTTAAATTCTGTTCCCGCAGCTTATTCCATTAGTGGGCAGGAGTGTTATGAAAAAGTGTCTCTTGTTATGTTAATGAGGTTAACTTTGGGGAAACCTGCGGGGCAGTGGCTGCCCAGGAAACCAGCTTCCGTGGAGGGTTGAAATTCCCAGTCCCAACCCCAGCCTCTGTTGCGAGGAGAGGAGCTGGGGTCAGTAGGGGCTGGGGCCGCCATGAAGGCCCGAGGGGCTGGCGCCCTCCAGTCCGGGGTTGCTGACGGGAGCCTTGAAGGCAGTGGCCCTGTGCCCACCCCCCCCTCCGCCCCCCCACCAGCCCCTGCCTCAGGGGCCTTTGTCACAAATCTGTGTTGAGCCGGAGGCCTGAGTCCTGTGGGGGCAGGAAGGCAGAGGGCAGGATCTCTGTGACCGGGCAGACGGGTGAAGCAGGAGTGCTGGCGCCCTCGGTGGCTTTTCAGGCTTTTATTGGGATTTACCAGGCGCGGGGGTCCTCCTAGTCCCTGGCAAAGTCTTCACTCTTCCTGGGCTCCCTGGCGTTCTCTTGGGGCCTCTGCGTCTCTCCTGGTTCTCTTCTGCTCTCTTGCTTGTTCTCTTGCTCTCATTCTGCTGCTGGCGACCCCGTGACGCCGACCTTAAAAGCCCAGTCTCAGCTCAGGTGTACCTGTTACAGGGCGGGAAGAGGGGCACCCCAGATCCCCCAAACCTGCCCACTCTAAATGGGTTCTGCCATTCGCCTCATAAACACAAAACGTATGATACTTTAATGAAAAAGGAACTTTAATACGATTAGGAAACAACACAGGAAAGGCAAAGGATATAGTCTTCAAATCAAACACCCAAAGTGACCCGTCCCCTTGTGGGTAAAAGTCCATCCAAATGGGATCGGCCCAGAGCAAGGCCCCAAAGCCTGCCACAGTCTAAAGCACCTTCCAGTGGGGACCCACAGAAAAGGGTCAGAAACAACCACACAAGTCTGGAGGGAAAAGAGCAAAATCAACATCAAGATAAAACCCACCATGGTCCCCTCCCCACGGGTCTCACCCACATCTGTGTCACCCCGTCCATGACCACAAGGCAAGCACAGTTTCTTCACGTGTCTCCCTGCTCCATGCGCCTCCTCCAGGGCTCCTTCTGGCTCCATCCTGCTCCTTCCTTCCTCAGTCTCCTCTTCAGCTTCTTCTCTCCCTGCCCAGCTCCACCCTCCCTTGGGTGGGACAGGGAACCTGGAACCTCCCCCTTTCCTGAGGATCCCCTGTTACAGACCCACCTACGTATGCCCACACCCCACTCCAGGTGCCCGCCATCAAGCTTAATGGCGGGAGGGCAGAAGAGCCTGATACTTTACTTACCCTACAGTCCACTCTGCAAATCCTGCAGCCTCGGGGGACCTGGGACCTCAGACTCGGGCCTTCCCAGTCCGTCAGAAGCAGAGGGGAGCCCGACTGGGAAGGCCCGAGTCTGAGGCAGGCACCCGGCCTGCTAGGCGCCCGCCAGCCTGGGGCCACGGCCGGAGCTGCAGCGGGGTGGGTCTGGGAGGCCGCACCCTCCTGTGAGCTTGCACTTGGGGGTCAGGGCAAGTGGGGTCTGCACACCTCCTAGATCTGACGAAGCTGGCTGGTGGGGGTGGCCTCAGCATCCCTAGCCCCCCACTGCTGCTGGAGTTGCGGTGCAGGACACCCCCTACACAACAATCCCGGACCACGTGTGGGGAGGTAGTTTCAGCGCAAGGAGAACAAGTCGTCTCCGTGCTTCCACCATGCTGGAAGCCAGGTTGTGCAGGCGTGCCCACCCTCGGGGCCTGCGTGGCCCTCACGTCCCTGCCCGCCCTTCCGGGCAGAGCTGTGGGAGCCCACAAGGCTCCCCCCAACCCGAGGCCCGACCCACCCTGGCCCCGGGCTGCCGTCGCTCATTCCGGCCTCACAGCAGGCTCTCCCCAGGCCTGTTCTCACTCAGATGTCTGACGTGGACGCTGCAATAACCCCCAACACTTGCTCCGCTGGGCTTCCTGGCTCCCCAGGCCCCTGCCCTCTCACGCCCGTCCTCTCCCCTCTCAGCGCCTCTGCCCTGCCCTGCTCGCTCAGCCTGTCGGGGCCATGCACCGGCCTCGCCTCCGCTGCGCACGCCCAGTCCTGCCAGACTCGTCCACCTCACACTGTTCAGAGTGACCTGGACCCTCTCCTGACGCTGCCTCCCCTCCCGAGGCGCCCTCGGTGCTCCCTGTGGGGGCAGGAGGCCCCCCCTTCCCGTGTTCCAGTTCCATTCCCACCCTTCGCTGACCGCTTCTCAGCCCTGCCGCTCCGCGCGCTCCTGTGTGTGCAGGGCCTCAGCTGGGCCGCCTGCCCCCATCCCCGCCCGTTCTGTGGCGGGCGTGTGGCTAGACCCTGCCCGGGGCCGCTGCCTTGCCCCAGCCAGGCCACCACCGCCTCACCTGCTCTGTTGGCTCCTGGGGCCTCCCCCTCCCCCACTCACCACTGAGGCCCTGCCTGCGCCCCCAGCTCTGGACAGCTGCCTTAACACCCCCAGGTCACACGCAGGCTCCCGCCTGGCTCCCAGAACCTGCCTTTGACTCTGCAGACTGAAGTTCCTTCCTGAGTTGGCCCAAGCGGCCCTCCTGGCCCAGACAGGCCCACACCTGAGCTGCACCTGCTCTAGCACGGCGCCCCACAGCCTGCGGCCGCCTCCCAAGTACAACCCGCTGCCGCCACCCTGCCCCCGCATCCACCTCCCCTTTCCTCCACGGTGCTGTGAGCCGCCCCAGGTGTGCCCTCATATGCCACACGTGCGTGCACACTGCCCTCACACAGCTCACCGCATGCACACACAGCTCCCCACATGCACACGTGTGCACGCGGCTCACCACATGTACATGCACACGCCCACACGGCTCACCTCATGCACATGTGTGCACGCGGCTCACCACATGTACATGCACACGCCCACACGGCTCACCACATGCACACACACCCTGCACACAGGGCCACCACCCGGCAGGAGCACTCAGCACTTGAGGAGACCGCCCCCGCGGGCTGGCGCACTTGCTTTGTTTATTAAACACTCTGGAGCCCAGTCGCCGTCAAGCCGGGGTGGGGACGGTGAGGGGTGCTGGACCCTCTCCTGACGGCGGCCTCACCTCCCAAGGCGCCCCGCGTTTGGGGCGTTTCATAGTGTCTGTGCGAAGAGACACGGTGGGCAACGAGGCCCACCGCCCTCCAACGGCGTCGTGTGTGTGTGTGTGTGTGTGTGTGTGTGTGTGTGTGTGTGTGTGTGTAAGTGAGCTGGGACGGCCTTTGAGCTCGCGGGATTCTGTGTGTTCTTAGTTTTCACATCTTTATAACGTTCGTGATCTCTGTCACGTTGTTCCTTCGAGAGTCATAATGCGCCCCCCCCCCCCCCCGCAGTTCGCAGCCAGCGCCCTGGAGCACCGTGTGTTCGAGGTGCGGGAGACGGCGGTCAGGATCATCCTGGACATGTACAGGCAGCACCGGGCCTCCGTGCTTGACTACCTGCCCCCGGAGGACACCAGCACGCGCAAGAACGTCCTCTACAAGACCATCTTCGAGGGGTTTGCGAGGATAGATGGCAGGCCTACTGAGGCCGAGGTCAGGGTGAGTCGCGGTGCGAGGGTCGAGGCCCCCATGCTGGCTCTGGGGGGCGTGGGTAAAGGACCGTCCTGGGCCCGGGGTGGCCTGCTCTCCCCCGGGAGCCTGTGGGCGCGGGCCCCCCAGGACGACCAGTTCTCTGATGAGCAAACACTGAACAGACGGTTTCATCTGAGCCCTGGTCCAAAGCTGGACAGTGCGGGTGCGGCCGGGGCCAGACTGTGCCACCTCCGTGGCGCACGCAGGGATTTGGCTCCCAATCCCTAAAGAGCTGTCCTAGTGGGACATGATTTTCCCACCAGGCACAGAAAAAGGCGGCCACGGAAGAAGCAGAAAAACGGAAGCGAGCAGAAATGAAGGCCTTGCAGGGGCAGCTGGCGGCGCTGAAGGAGACGCAGGCCGGAGCCCAGGTTGGAGCCCAGCCCCCACCCCCAGGGCTGTGTGCGCGGCCGTCGCTTTTGATGGAAGGAACTGACCCTAGATGGGCCGCAGGCCACGCGGCAGGCGCTGCTGGCCGGCTGGGCCTGAGCACGTGCTGTGGGCGTTACACAACACGGCCTTTGAGATCAAGTGTAATAACGAGAAATTCTGGTTTCTGGAGTAACATTTTGCTTCAGTGCGGTCAGAATTGGCATTTGCTTTCGTCACACCAGTAACAAATCTTCAGTTAGACGAACACCCGGCCACTGCCCAGCCAGGGACAAGCGCCGGACAGCCGTGCAGGCCAGCCTCTGCGCACCGGCGCCGGTCTGGAGAGCTCATGTGTGGCTCCTGGTCATAAGCTGGGGAGCGCCAGGGCAGACGGGGTGGGCCCGCGCAGGGCCGCCACGTGCCCTTGGCCCCGTGTCCCCGGCACTGGTGTCCTTGGAGACGGGCGACAGGTGGGGATGGAGGGGCTGGGCCGGCGCCTTTCTGTGGCCCGGACAAGGGGGCGTGGGACCTGGAGAAGCCCCAGATTCTGGGGAAGCCCCAACCTGTGAGCCAGGTAGGGGTGCATAGGGCAGCCGAGCCCCCAGAACAGGACGGGCACTGAGGTGGGGGAAGACCTGGAGGAGGGGCCTGGGGGGTTGGGGGGGAGGGGCTGTGAGAAGGGGCTGCAGGTGACCCCCCGCCTCGCCACAGCCCTTCCAGAGTCGCGTCTGTTTGTCGAAATCTGCCGCGGACCAGCACAGCAGTAGACGATGAGGCCGTCTCAGGGTTGAGAGACTGCGCAGGGTGGTCAGGGATTCGGCTAAAGAAATGACAAACAGACACACTTCAAGAGAGAGTGTAAATCTGAGTGCGTCTTTATTAAGCTAGTGGTCAGTATATATATGTTTTTCTAAAGGCATAGGAACAGTGAACATCAAAGAGATCAGTTTGCTCATAGACTTAGCTTAATTGACAGGGCAGGGATTTATGTCCGAAGTGACACCTGGACCTAGCCGCATTCCTGGTTGGACAGGCTGTTCATTCTTTCTACTGTTCTATATAATTATTTTCTAGTTGCACTAACTATCATGTTTACTCATAATTAATTGTCATGGGTGAATTTATTTTATAATGCAGTTAATATCAAAGGTACTAAAGTCAAGCACATAATAGAAAGATTATTAAACCAACAATTCTATTATAACACAGTGTTTAGTAATGTTTCATTTGCATTAGCCTAATTATTAAATTACGTATGTTTTTTAATTAGCAATCAATGACCAGAAAAAGGAAAGATTTTAGAGAGACAGTTGTAGCAGAATAAAGTTTGTGGGCCTTGAGAAAGCGAGATAAGGTTCCAGGTGGTCAGCATTTCTTTTAATCATCTTTGTGGCCGCTTTTGGTGGTCGTCATCTCTTGGCAGGCATTCGGCTTCTCTGCATCTTAGGGAGTTTGCTGTTCTCCCCCTGCGCGCATGGTTCCTTGCCCACGCCGGACCTCAGGGACCATGGCAACAGCGATTAGCCCTGAGGGTCATTGCAGGGGGGGGTGCAGCAGAAATCCTAGAACTAAACCCTTTCAGGGTCCACATGCATCCTGGGGCGAACCTCGCTCCCGCTGCAGCCGCATGTCGCTCATTTTCCCATTTTTCTGTCTTAGGTGGAAGACGGCAGGGTGGTGAAGTCCGCGCATCCAGGTGGGTCTTGAGGGGCTGCCGGGCTGCTGCAGTGTGCCCTCGGGGAGGGTCTCCAGAGGCTCACCGGCCCGCGCTCCCCACCTCCTTTTTTCCAGATGCTCAAGGAAGGAAAGCAGCCCCGCCCAGCGCACCGGAAGTGCCAGATAATCACTACCTGGACAAGTGAGTCGCTGCTGTCCAGGCCTGCTGGGAGCCAGAGCTGCCCCCTGCCCCCTGCCCACAGTCCCTCTCGGTTACTTTCTAAACTAGGAAAGTCCCTTATAACCCGTGATCCTCTCGCCCGAGGTCCTCACCTGGTCTAGATCGTGGCGGGGGCGGGATGACACGCCTGCCGCCTGCTCCTGCTGCCGGGAGTGGAGGATCCACCTTGGGTACAACACCCTCTCTGTGGGGCTGCAGTTAGGGCTGAGGCCCGAGCTGGCCGAGCTCAGACACCCACAGGGTGAGGCTGCGCCTTAGGGCACCTCAGCCCATCCTGGAGGAAGGCCGCCCCGGGCCTGAGGCCTCTGACCTCCCTGTCTCCCCCCATCTCTCCAGCCTGTGCATCTTCTGCGGGGAGAGGAGCGAAGCCTTCACAGAGGAGGGCCTGGACCTGCACTACTGGAAGCACTGCCTCATGCTGACCCGCTGTGACCACTGCAAACAGGTCAGTGTGGGTGGCCACCATGCGTGGGCCTCGGTGGCGGAGGAGATGCCCTGGGCAGGCAACTGAGTGCATAGTGCCCGTCGTTTGGGGCTGACTTTCCTGTTTGTGGGGCATAACACCGCCCTACACACAACCACACATCCAGCTCAGGGACTAGCACAGGGAGACTTGACTGAGCGGCCACCGTCATCCTGGCATGCCGCCCGCCCCAACACGTAGGGTGCTGCCCCCCTAACCTGGGCGCCCGATGTGGGGGCGCCACTGCCTGGCCAGCCCTTTAGCCATGAGGGTTTGGGGCTGGTCAGTGTGAGGCTGCCATAGCCAATGTCGCTGCAGACGCCTGTCTGGGTCCCGGCACCAGACATGCCCCTTGTGGAGTGCAGGCCCACGGCAGCCCACGGCAGCCCACGGCATCCCCCACCCCCTCCCCTGGCCTGTCCATGTCTGAGGGTCTCGAGGAACGGACACACTGCCCCGCGTTCCCGACTAGGTGATCCTCTTCAGGGGGGTGTTTCTCGGCCTATTCACGATACTCACCCCAACCCTGTTCCAGTGTCCTGGCTGAACAGGCCTCCTGATAAAGCAGTAGACTAAGGGGGCAAGCGTGACCCTGGTCCACTCCGGGACCCTCTGGAGGAGCGGACCACATCCCTGGACCTGGCCATGCGGACCCCAGGCCCTGGTCTGTGCCTGCCCTCCCTGGGGTGTGCAGCAGCCTGAATGTGGGGGCACAGGCGCCAGCCAGTGGCTCCTGCCAAAGCAGCCAGAGACGCCCAGCCTCCCACAACCCTACCTGCTCAGCCCTTCCCAGCAGGGAGCCAGGGTCTGGGCACCCAGGTCCCCTAGGCACCGCCAGGCAGTCCTGACCTCACACAGGCCAGGCAGCGCCAGAGATGGCTGCTGGCTGCTCAGGTCACGGGCCGCGGGCGAGGGGCCCCTGGCAGACCTGAGCCGTGGGCACAGCAGCAGTGGGGGAGAGGTGGGCCCCCCCGCTGCATCCGCTGCCCTCAGCCGCCTGCTCCGCCCCGCGCCCGCCACCCAGGTGGTGGAGATCGCCAGCCTGACAGAGCACCTGCTGACGGAGTGCGACCGGAAGGATGACTTCGGCAAGTGCTACCGCTGCAGCGAGGCCGTCCTGAAGGAGGAGCTGCCCCGGCACATCAAGATGAAGGAGTGCACCCGTGAGTGTGCGGCCCGCCCCCCGCCCGGCACCCTCTGCCCCCACTCCCGGGGCTGCCAGGTGTGGGTCTCCACGGCCACTCAGTCTTGTCTCCCTGAAACCAATACAGCTGCCAAACCGGAGAAGCTGGCGAACCGCTGCCCCCTGTGCCACGAGAACTTCGCACCGGGAGAGGAGGTGAGCCCCTCTGGGCGGGGGCGCCGGGGCCCGTGTGGGCTCCGCCTCTGCGCACATCAGTCTCGGGTCACTGGGGTCTCTGGCCACTGTCAGCACTGGACACGGCCCCGAACACCCACACCCCATACTCTGCTCCCCCGTGTCAGCCGTGCCATGACACCTGCTGTGAGATGGGCCGCCCCCGCCCCGCCCCCGACGGCCTGCCGCTTCGGTTGGCCTAACCCCCGAGCCCGGGGGGCCCAACCCCTCACATGCCCCTGCCCAGTCGGGGGTCCCCTGACCCATCTGCCATCTTCTGTTGCTCAGAAGTAGCCACAGGGAGGGGCATGTACAAGATGATGGGGAACCCCCGGGCTGTGCTGGTCCCTGGCTGATGTGGCGCCCGCCTCCCTGATTCCAGGCGTGGAAGGCTCACCTGATGGGCCCCGCCGGCTGCACCATGAACCTGCGCAAGACGTACCTGCTGCACAGGGCGCCCCTGCCGCTACCTGGTAAGCCAAGGGGCTCGCTCCCTCCAGTCCATGTGGCCCCAGGATGCCCCGGCCTGTCCCACTGCTTCCTTAGCGAGGTGGCTCGTCCTGGGACAGAAATTCTCACCAGCACCAAACTAGGGCTGCTCCCCAACTATGGGCGCAGAGCTGACAAGCCAGACTTGGGGTGTCTGGGTGCACAGCCAGGCCTTGCTGTCCTTCTGTGCACCTGCTTGGAGCTGGAGAAACCAGAGGCCCCTGCAGGCCCCCAGCCGTGGTCACAGGCCAAGCAATGCTTGCTGGGGGCTGACAGGACACGGCACAGAAATGCCGAGTTCCATTAGAAGGTTGCTCCTGACCCAGAGACGGGGGCACCCTTGTTTGTAGGGGCGTGTGAGAAAGGGACTCTGACCAGGCTCCCTGCCGGGTGCGCGTGGTGAGGCACTGCTGGGCCGTCCATCGGTGGTCCATCTGCTTCGCTTTGGGGTGACTTCGCCGGGGCTCTGCGCTCCGGGTGGTACCAGGAGCCCAGGCCAGCAGCTCCAAGTCCCGTGTCTGTGCTCTCTGCAGGGAAAAGCCCGGCAGCGACCAAAGCAGGGCCCTCAGGGTCAAAGGTCAGCAGCAAGATCCCCACCCCAAAGGGAGGCCTGAATAAGAGTTCTGGCCGGACACAGACCAAGCGATGACGTGACCCACCGCCGTGGCCTTTGTCCCCTCGGGGGCTGAGCACGTCTCCCGATCCGGAGCCCACCTCTGGCGACCCCACGCCCCGGCCCCACCGCCGCGGCTCTGGCCACATTTGTCCTCACGTGGCGGCCGAGCGCATCCCTGACCAAGAGCCCGCCTCCCAGAGCCACCTCGGCCTGCCCCACCTCCGGCCTCCAGGCTGCCCACCTGTTCGGGCCTCGGGGTCCAACCCCGGAAGGGAAACGGTTCTGTGTGGCGCACACTGGAGTCCATCCCACAAGCTTGCTGGGGCCGCTGACAAGGCCAAGGGGTCCCCCTAGAGCGTCCCTGCAGGCTCTGGCACACTGTCTCCATGGTGTAGACCCACCAGACGTGCCCCTGGCCATGAGGGGACAGGAGTGGGGTAGCATGTCTCCCCGTGCCTGTCCCCACAGGCACTGTGCACTAGGCCTGGCGGGACGGCCTCAGTCGAGCCGGCTTCCACCTGCACAGGAGATAGAGGGTTGCCCCCTCACGCCCTCCCCAGATGCCTGCCACAGCGCCCGCCACCACTCCGCGTCCAGGTGGGCAGAGGCTCACAGGGCCTCGCTCCGCAGCCTTTCCTCAGGGAGCTTCCACCCTTTACACACGTGACGTTCTTACAAATAAATGATGAAATGACCTTCCTGCTGGTGACGCTGGCTCCCGCCTCTGCGTCATCCAAGCAGCCGCTTCTCAGCCCAAGGTGAGCCCGTGCGTTCTCGCCTGCCTCGGTTAGCCTTCCCCTGGAGCCAGTGATGCCAGCGGCCTGATCGGCCGCACCTCCCTCTTGAGCCCGCATGTCCGTGGAATTGAGAGTTTGCTTTGCTCTGACACTTTGTCCGTGCTTAAAACACCAAAACGTGACAAAAGCCAACCTCAGGACCCCGGCCAGCCCTCCAGTCCCAGGGAAACAGGTCAGTCTGCTCCCCAGTGGGTGGCAGTGAGGAAAGACCTCATTGGCCTGAAATCCGGATACAAAACCCCCGCCCCAAAGAGGGGCCTGTGCTCCCCACAACCAAGTCGATGGGAGAGCCCAAGAGGGTGGGCCTGCCCGCGCCACCCCAAGTGCCAGCCAGCGACGCGTGGAGTGGATGAGCCCTGCGCCCGGCACTGCACGGACACACACCTTTAAATCCCAGCCAGGTGGGACAACAAAATTCAGAAAGACTAATGGCTGCTGAGGCACGTGCGCTGGGTGTGCTGTAGCACTGTGAGTTTGCACTAACCCGTCTCCATTTCTGGTGAACGAACACCTCAAATGGTTGACCCAAGAAACCGGGGAAGGATAAGATTCACCAAAGCTCACCAGGCGGAGCGGCGTGCGGGTGCCGAGGGGACCCGCCGATGCTTTCTGCTTGGAAAGGTACTGACTGCACCGCTAGCCCGCACTTGACGCGCAGGTCGGACACTGTGAACAGGAGATGTTAACCATGATGCCTGGCTCTTCTCCCAAAGCTTGTGAGAAAGATAAATATGTGATGTTTTCTATATTAACTTAGAGATTTGTAAGATTATTTAATTTTTAACGACTGACAAATTGGGTGCATTTAAAACACTGTAATCTTGGTTACAGAAGAATCACGTGTTTATGTTGAAACGATTCCGAGGAGGAGGGAGGCCGTGGAGGGCTCCACAGTTACACGCTTGAAGGGACAGAGAATAAAGGGTGAAAAATTTCAAAGGAACTGTGACACCGCTTGGGCACTCACGAAGAAGTGTCTAGATTTGGAGCTGTGATTAGTAACTGAACTTTCACTCATAAACGTGGATATTTAACAATATTTATTTCTATTATTTTCGTATTTTAAAACAGCCTATTAAATGATCAAATTTAAAAGAACTGTGTCTATAACCTTGCCGTTAGAGAACAGATGTGAATACTTTCAGTGAAAATTGGTGACTATTTAATGCTTTTTTTTTATAGAGGCATGTTATTTGTTTGTTTTGTTTATACAAGCACTGGGTACAGTCAGAAGCGCGGGAGGGTGAGAGGATCCCCCAGAGCCAGAGCGGGGAGCAGAGCAGGCAGAAGGACCGAAGGACACTGCTGAGGGGAGCAGCGGGCGGCAGGAGAGGTCTGCGCGCCATGCGGGACCCTCCTCCGGGGGCCGGGGAGCAGCCGGGGATCGAACCGACGGTTTAGAGGCCGCGGGCGCTTCACCACCCAGCGCTCGGCCGCCGCGCCCCGGGGCGGCCCCTGTTTCGTGTTCTAACGCGGTTCTCTCTCCGTCCTCACTTCAGGCGCGGGACGGGCTCTAGACGGTGCGGTGGCCGCTGCTCAGGGCCCGGGGCGAGCTCGCCCGAGCGGCGGAGACGACGCGGGGCTCCCCGCGGGCCTCGTCGCTTTCCTTGAAGACCATCAAAAGCCGCCGGCGACTTGGGGGCGCCTCCCTCCCCCCACCCCCGTCCCTGCGGGTCACGCCCCGGGTCACCCCCCGCGGGTCCCGCCCACGGCGGCGCCCTCCCCAGACAGGCCGCTTGTTGCTGGTAAAATGCCCGGCTGCTTCGACCTGAAGATGGGGAGCCCGCGGGGCTCCTGGGGGGCACACACCGGCCCGCCGGCGGGGAGAGCGCCCCTCTCCGTGGTTCAGGTGGCGACGCTCTGGCGCCGAGCGGCGTCTCGGTGGCGTCTTCCGGGCGTGGCCGGAAGTGACGCCGCCCGAGCGCGCCGGGAGCGGCGGCGCCATGGCGGCCGCGGCGCCCGAGGCCTGGCCCGAGCTGGAGCTGGCGGAGCGGGAGCGGCGGCGGGAGCTGCTCCTGACGGGGCCCGCGCTGGAGGAGCGGGTGCGGGCGGCGGGCGGGCGCCTGCCGCCGCGGCTCTTCACGCTGCCGCTCCTGCACTACCTGGAGGTGAGCGGCTGCGGCAGCCTGCGCGAGCCGGGCCCGGGCCTGGCGCGGGGCCTCCCGCGGCTGCAGAGCCTGGTGCTGCGGCGCAACGCGCTGGGGCCCGGCCTGAGCCCCGAGCTGGGGCCGCTGCCCGCGCTGCGCGTGCTCGACCTGTCGGGCAACGCGCTGGAGGAGCTGCCGCCGGGCCGCGGCCTGGCCCCGCCGAGCCGCCGGGCCTCCCGCAGCTGCAGAGCCTCAACCTCAGCGGCAACCGGCTGCGCGAGCTGCCCGCCGACCTGGCGCGCTGCGCCCCGCGCCTGCAGACGCTCAACCTCACCGGCAACCGGCTGCACGCCTTCCCGGCCGCGCTCTTCGGGCCCGGCGCCCTGCCCCTGCTCAGCGAGCTGGCGGCGGCCGACAACTGCCTCCGGGAGCTCAGCCCCGACATCGCCCACCTGCCCTCGCTCAAGGTCAGTGGGGCCGCGGGGCGGGGCGGGGCGGGGCGGGGCGGGGCGGGGCCGGGCCCCCGTGGCGGCGGGAGGGCGCGCCGGCCCCGGACGCTTCTGCGGGCTGGGGCGGCGGCTCGGGTCGCCTTCCCCGGGTTCGCGGCCGGACTTGAAGGCCTAAGACGCCGTTCGGTCTCCGCGAGCTTCTCCCTCGGGTCCGAGGCAGGTCCAGAGCAGGGATCCGGGCCGCTCCTGTTTTTGTGAAAGGACTGAACCTGGGGTCCCGGGCACACCCAGACAGGGAGACTTGACGTGACCGGAGCTGGCATGAGGAGGCCACCGTGGGGATGTTTCACTTAACGTGTTGTTGGGTTTTCAGGAAGGCCAGGGGGTCGCCCCAATAGACAGTTAATTTGGGTTCCCCTTAGACCCCCGCCGTCTGGGCCTGCGTGGGGTCTCGAGGCCCCAGTGCTGCAGGGCTGGTGGTGTTGAGCGCGAGACTAGTCCTGTGTTTCTCCTGGTCTGGAGTTTAGGTGCTTTTAAGCAATAAAACGGCGTGTTTATTTGTGGTGGCATTTGCCCTCAAGGCATGGTGGCTCCGGCCCGAATGCGTGTCCATGCGGGGGTACATCAAGGCGCGAGATGGAGGCTCCAGATCCCTTTCATAACTGGGGCTTGTGAGACTCCAAATCAGCTGTCCTGTGTGCCCGCCCGAGCAGAGGCATCTCCCCCCTCCGTGTGCCTCCTGCCACCCCTGCCTCAGAAGTCCCCGGCCTTGGAAGGTGGCCCCTCTGCTGGCTCTGTGCCTTCGGTGGTGCTGATCGTGACCACGGGTCTTGGGAGGAGGCCGGATCCCCACTCGTGATGGAAGGTTCTTTCACGTGGGCCGAGAGTTTCTTGTCTCCGTGGTGCAGACAGCACAGCAGGGGCCTGCCTCCCTGTCCCCAGCCGGCGTGGACGCCTGTGCGCAGGGAGGGGTCATCCAGCCCTGAAGTCTTGCTGCTGGAGCTGCCCCGAGCCGGGCCACCCTCCTCCCTGCGCCTTTGCCTCACCTGTGGACCAGCCCCCACCTAGAGGGGCGCTTAGCTTGTGGCTGCGCTGTCCTCATCCCTGCCACCCCGCTGTGCACAGGAGTCCAGGGGAGGGAGACAGTGTCCACCGCCTTGAAGGGGACAGCGCAAGTGGCTGCGCGCCGAGGGGTTGTGGCGATGGCAGGCAGCGGGGGCCCGGGGAGTGGCAGCTGTGCCCTAGGAGACCCCAGGCTGCATTCTGACGTGTCCTGGGTCTCCCCCAGATGCTGGACCTCGCCAATAACCAGCTGAGCGAGATCCCCGCGGAGCTGGCCGACTGTCCCAAGCTCAAGGAGGTCAACTTCCGGGGGAACAGGCTGCGGGACAAGCGCCTGGAGAAGATGGTGAGCGGCTGCCGGACCAGGCCCCCTGGAGCCTGCGCGCCGGGGGCCGCAAGCAGCGGCGGGAGCGCAAGAGGCAGGAGAGCGGCGAGGGCGAGGGTGAGGTGGAGGCGGCCGCCAGGCTCCTCCTGCGGGTCCTGCATGTGGCCGAGAACCCCGCCCGCTGACCGTCCGCGTGAGCCCCGAGGTCAAGGCGGTCCGGCCATTCTTCGTGGGCGCTGTCGTGAGGGGCGTGGACCTGCAGGCCGGGAACGCGCTCAAGCGCTTCCTCAGCGCTCAGGTACTGCCGGGCCCTGGGCCGGGGACTCTGGGAGGGCATGGCGCGGCGTGGGGAGCAGAGAAGGGGAACCGGGTGCTGGCGCTTCTGTGCGCACAGACTCCCCCGGGCTTGGCGGGTGTGCTGCGGGGGCGGGGGGCGCCCATCCCATGCCTCCTGCTCGGCCTCGCCTGGACAGCGCCTCGGACTTCGCCCTGCGCGGCGGGCCTTCTGGGCGGTGTGGTAAATTGCAGCGTGGCTTTGTGCGAGAACAGGCGCGCCTGCTCCCGGGTGACTTGGCCCTGAGGTGTTCGGGCGAATTTCCAGTATTTTGCCGTGAAGCCCCAGACTCAGAGCAGAGAGCGCGACCGCGCGGGAGGCCGCGGTGTGGGGCTGCCGGGTGTCGGGAGCCCCAGCTGGGGCGGGGGGGTGGGGCGCGGGGTGCCTTCCCCAGTCCAAGTCATGCGTCCCCGAGGGAGAGAGGAGCCTGCTCACCAGCTGGGGAAGCTGCCGCGGAATAACTGCGTGGCGCAGGCGAGGCCATATGGGGGGGCCGCGGTGCAGGCCTGCCCAGCCGGCGCCCCCTGTTGCAGACGAGGCTGCACGAGGACCTGTGCGAGAGGAGGACGGCGGCCACCATCGCCACCCACGACCTCGGCGCCGTCCGGAGGCCCCTGCTCTACAGCGCCCGCCCGCCGCGGGACCTCACGGTGAGCGCGGGCGCCCGCGGGTCGGTGCCACCTTCTGGCGTCAGCGATGCCCAGGCCGGCGGCGGCGTCGAGCAATTTAAAGCCGGCTGGGCCCTGGCGCGGGGAGGGCGGGCGTGTGGCGGCAGGAGGCCGTCCGAAAGCGCTCTCCTCCGCTGACTCGTTCTTTGCGCCAAGCCTGCGGCTTCTGCCCCGGTGGCGAGCCCTCCTCTGGGGGCTGGCTGGTGTGGGCCGCTCGGGCTGGTCCTGCCCTGGTCTGCTGAATTCTGTGCGGTGCCCCAGTGACCCCCACGTGGGCGGTGGCCCTCTGTGCCGGCTGCACCCCACAGCCTGCTCCCGCTGGCGGCCCGCCCCCCTCAGCCTCTGTGGGCCACGGACACGCTGTGTGTTGCGTGGGTCGACAGTTGAGCTCAGCCCGCCACGAGCTCACGTCCCTAGAGGGACCTCTGGCCCCACGTGTCACTGCCACGGGCAGTTGTGTCGCTCTGGGTCGCCTGCCGAGGAGCCTGGGACTGGAGCCGCATTAGCAGCAGCCCGGCCCGTGCGCCCAGGCTCCTGCCACCCGCGACGTGCTGACGTGCACGTCCCCGTAGATTGTCCCGCTGGGGCGGAGGGAGGTGCGAGCCCAGGACCTGGTGCGGCAGCTCCAGCTGGAGGCCGAGGAGCACCGCAAGCAGAAGAAGAGGCAGAACGTCTCGGGCCTGCACAGGTGGGCGCCCGGCCGCCGGGGGTGGGCTCAGGGTCCGGAGGGCACTGCGGGGCCAGCCCGAGTGGAGACCCAGCGCTTTGCCCCCGGCTACCACGCACCGTCCAGGCAAGCCCTAACCTGCAGAGCGGGAAGGCTTCTTCCAGGTGTGAAGCCACCCCTTGTCGCCCAAACCTCAGTCCCCTGCCGGGAAAGAGAGGCGGGGCCGAGGCCTGCGGTCAGTCCAGTGGGTGCAGGGCGCTGCTGTCTCCTGTGCTGGCTGGCATCATCCCACGGGAGGAGGTGCCCCCGGGCGCCACATGCCCCAGCGGTCAGGATGCGTGGTCTCGTGGGCTCAGACACGAAGGCCCTCGGACCCCCACTTGGGCCGCCATTTGCCACCCACCCAGCTCGGGCTTCACACGGGCGGGTCCCACGAGCCCTCGATCATAAGGAACTTCCGTCCCGTCGACCCTCGAGGTGTCTCTTCCCGTCGTCGTGCCTGTGATCCGGGGCTCCTTCCCCAGGTACCTCCACTTGCTGGACGGCGAGGAGCTCTTCCCCTGCCTCGTGGACGCAGACGGCGACGTGATCTCCTTCCCGCCGATCACCAACAGCGAGAAGACGAAGGTCGGTGGCGCCGTGGCATCGAGGCCCTGAGCTCAGCGTGTCCACCCCGGGCCTGCCGCTGCGCCTGGCGGACAGTGGCCCCCACGTGGGCAGGGCCGAGACCCGAGCTGGCCCTTCGCCTGCACGTCCGGGCGGGGTGGGCACTGTGCCACCGACGTCCGCCTCTCACCACCGCGTTTACTGAAACCTTTTTAATTTTTTTGAAGATTAAGAAGACAACTTGTGATTTATTTTTGGAAGTGACAAGCGCTACGAGCCTGCAAGTGTGTAAAGACGTCATGGACGCCCTCGTTCTGGTGAGTGACCCCCAGGCCTCGGGCTCCGGCCGGGACAGGGGGTGGGGGTGGGGGTGGGCAGCAGGCTGCAGCAGTTCGCCTGGCCTGGGCACCTCGCAGCTCCTCAAAAACGTGGTTTTCTTTTGCAGAAAATGGTAGAACTCAACGGGCATACCTTGGGGAGCACAGAGGAAGGCTCGCCCCCAGCCCCCGAGGCAGACGCCACCTCTGCGCAACCTCCGGGGCCGGGGCCCAACCCAGGTGCTGACAGGGAGGGGCCTGCGCCCCTGCTGGTGGAGCAGGTCCGCGTGGAGGACACGGAGGGGCAGCTGAAGGTGGTGTACCCGTCCAGGACCGACCTGGCCGGGGCTGCCCCCCACGTGGCCGTGATCCGCTGACGAGCCGCCACGGGGCCTCGCCTGTCCCGGGGCCCGGGCCTGACAGATGCTTGGCGCCTCGGCGTCACTTTCGAGGCACCCTTTGTCTGGCAAGGCGACCCAGGTGCCACCTGTGCCCGCGCATCTGCCCCCGCCAGCCCGCCCGGCTCCTCAGGAGGCCCAGCACCAGCTCAGCCGGCCCGGAGGTGCTGCAGGCCGGAGACGCCGCAGATGACTCCACGGAGCGGAGACACCGTGTCGGTCCTCAGCGGGAAGCGAGAGGACAGGCCGCACAGCCATCTGCCCTGAAGGAGTGTCTTTGGGCCGCCGCGTGTCTTCAGCCCGCGGGAAGCCATCTTCCTACGCGAGGCGTTTCTTCCCGGGCTGGTGGGCGCGAGCGGCCACTGGTAGCTGCGCTGGCGGGCAGGGTGGGAGGGACGGGCACCAAACACAGGCTCCTGGGGACGCTTGGTTCTCAGCGTTTCCGGCTACGGCTCACCCACGGGCGGCAGCCGCAGGACAGTCGCCCACCCCCACCCCCGGGCGCCGAGACGCCGGGCCTTGCTGACCTCACTGTTCCGGGTCTGGCCGGCCTGTGGGAGGCGCCCTCGGTGGTCTGTGGCGCCTCCCAAGAGCTGCGCGCGGTGCCCCTGCCGGGCGGGTGTGCTGTGCAGAGGGCGGACGCTGTCCGGGGAGCCCCCGCGGTAGCCCTCAGGACGCTGCTGGGCACACGTGACAGCGGGCAGCACAGCCGCCGGTGCTGGGGGCGGGCGTGCGTCCAGCGGGGCCTTGGCGGCCCTGTCGCCGGCCCTCCTGGTGTAACTTGGTTGTGTGTGAGACTTGGAACATGTTCAGCTTACAAGCAAAAGCCTCTGCCGACCTGTCACTCCTGCTCGCGTGAGGGACGTTTGGTCGGAACACCGCGGTGCCCCGGAGCCAGCCTTTCCTGCCGGTTAGCTGGGGCTAGGGCTGGTAGCTTCTGAGGGGAAATGCCCCCACCCCTCCCCACCCCAGCTCTGCCAGCAGGGTGAGAGGCACAGCCCAGGGAAGTCCTGGACCCCGGGGTCCTGGGTCATCTTCTCTGCATCCTGCCTCCCACCCCACCTCTACCTCGAGCAAGGGCTGGGTCTAGGCCCCCATTCAGAGGCTGTGCAGGGAAGTCAAGTCACCTGCTCTAGCAGGTCATCTTGTTCCAAAATCTCCTATGGGAAGGCAGGTGGCATCTTCTCCCTGGGGCCACATCTCTGGGAGGCTCCCACGGAGGTGCACCCCAAGGGCCTCTGTCTATGGGCTCCCCTGCAAGGGCTGGGCAGCAGGCCTTATGTCAGGGAACTGGCGTTCCACCCTGCGGCCTGCTGAGCATGGACACGGGCATGCCCAGCCAGTCCAGGCCAGACACCAGCATCAGCTGCTGCCATCCACCACCACCCCTCAGCAGGCCTGCCCTCCCCAGGGGCGGGGCCCACGGGATCTCTACCCCTCCTGCCATCTTGGCCTAGCCCCTCCGGATTCTGAGGTGTGCTTAGGGCCTCCTGGGCCCTGACAGCCCAGCTTTGGCCCCTGAAACCTAGACTTGCTATGTGGCCTCTGATCTCGAGCCCTCGTTGCCCATCCAGCTGGAGTGAGGGCCACTCTCCTGAGGTGGGGCCTGCAGCACCTGGCTGCTGCAGGTGAGACCAGCCCCTGCAGAGCAACCGGGAGGCCAGATACAGGCCCCTGCGGGCTAGGCTGGAACAAGTCCACTCATATTCTGGTCCTCGGGTCAATCCCAGGGCCCAGCCAGGGGCTCCCAAGGCCCAGAGCTGTATGGGAGCAGCGCATGCCCTTCCCTTAGGCCCCTGGCCACACTCATGGCCGCCAGCACTCACTCTGAGTAACACCCGGCCTGAGGGGCCATCGCCTGGCCCTCTTACCAAATAGTGACCATGAGGTGCACAGGGCACCTGAGGAGCTGGTCTACCCCCGCCCTTTCTTGAGAGGCAGGCAGACGAGAACAGGGTGCACTTGGAGGAGAGGCCACGTGGGGCGGGAGGCAAGGCCTACTCTGCCTGGGCCAGGGTCTCCGCTCCTGGGAGCGTGGGCGGGCTCCCTCAAAGCCGGCCTTGCACGGCAGAGCCAAAGACCACAGAACTGGGCACAATACCCACTGGGGGTCCCCACCCCGCCCAGCCCTTGGAAGGGGAGGGAAGGGTGACCCCCTGCACTGGGCTCCGGGGAGGTCTGGGGACGGGCTGAGAGCCAGGCCTGGGTGTGTCCTGCAGCTCCTGCCCAGGCTGGGCCCAGCCTTGTGCCATGCGTGCCCCCAGGTAGCTCTGTGTGCGGGCATGTGCCTGAGTCGGGGTGGTGGCCGCTGAGCATGCTGGGCCCCCGAGGTCCTGGTTCTTCACTGCTGGGGTGCAGGGCCTGCTCAGCGGCCATGGACGTGGTGGAGGAGTCCTAAAAGGGGCCATGTACTCGGAGCCCCCCCAGCCCACGCCCGAGGGAGTGCAGCCAGCCCAAGCGTGCTCGCTGGGCACACTACTTGCATTTGTGCACGTAGTAGCCGGTGGTGTAGCCCAGGATGAAGACGGCGCACAGCAGCGCCAGTGCGCTCAGCACCTTCATGGTGGTGCCCAGCTTGCACAGCCTCCCGGAGATCCTGGCGGGGGCAGGCAAGGGGAGGCACGTGAGTCTCAGGCAGACCCCCCCCCACCCCCCACCATGCACCTGGGCATGGACGGGTGACCTGACACCGGCAGGCACGGCGTGGGGGCCTCACCCATCCCAGCGGGAGCTCTGGATGGTGCCGGATGCAACCGCCATGCCGACCTCCTCCAGGCCGCTGTCCTGCCACCGGCTGTACTGGACGCCGCTCTCCCGGGGCTGCATGCCGGCGGCGGGGCTGCTGTTGCCTGCACCGGGGGCTCTGCCTGGGCGGGAGGCGGCTCAGCGGCCCGGGGTCACCCTGTAGTCAAAGTGGGGTTCCCACCCCTGGGTTCAGCTGCCAGCTGAGCCCCGCCCTCAGGAATGTGAGAGGCCCATTTGCTCCCCGCCCGCTCCCCGGGGGCCCTGCACGCTTGGCTGCTGCCACCTGAGAGGTGGCCGTGGGTCCTCGCCAGGGCCCAGCCTGAACAGCGCCTGCCTTTCCGCCCCCTTCCTGAACGGGTAAGCCCAGGGCAGTCTCTGCAGCTGGGAGAAGGGGGTGGGGGAGCGCTTAGGTTCCGGCTGGTGGGGAGAGGCCAGGCCCGTGGGCCTCCAGCCGGTCTACAGCAGCCCTCCCCTCCCGGCGCCTCTGGGAGGAGCCCGGCTCGGGGCCAGGGGCCCAGGACTGGGGCGGCCGCAGCCAGGCCCTGCACTTCTGGGGGCTGAGACTTTGCTCGGGGCTCCCCCGCAGAGGCACTGACCTTGCTCCCGGGCAGTCCTGGACCCGGGTTTAAAGGCAAGCGGGCGGCTTAGAGACTCCTGCCCGGGCCCTTCTGACGCCCCCCAGCTCCCAACGCGCCCCGTCCCAGGCTCAGGCCAGCGCGGGGAGGACGGGGCTTGTCTGGCGGCCACAGCGCCTGCTTTTCAGGTGGGGCCTGGCCCCGCGCAGCCGCGCAGGCCGTCTGGGCCCAGGGGAGGCCCGGTGCCGGCCAGGGTGCCGCTGCTGCCCGGGCCACAGCAGGGAGCCGGGGCTGGCTCTCGGCTGCCCGCCTGCGCCCGCCCCTCCCGGGCAGGAACGCCCCGGTGATGGCCACGGGGGGACCAGCCCAGCTCAGCCCCGCCGTCCAGGCCACCGGGCGGGAGAGCGCCGCCCTGCATGCAGCCCGAGGCGCTGCTGCCCCAGCCCCGGCCACCGGCTCCTCTCCTCCCCGCGACGGCGGGCGCCGCAGCAGCCACGTGGCGCCCGAGTCCGGGACCCCCGCCCGGGGCCGTCTCCGGGCCGCCCCGACGGCCGCCGCGAGGCGCTGGGCGAGCGCAGCCCGGGCGCCTTCCCCGCACGGCCAGGCCGGGCGCGCGCGGCTCTCAGGCCTGCGGCGGACCGGCCCGTCCCGGCAGGGCAGCCCGGCGAGCGCGGGAGCTGCGCTGGCCCCGCCCGCGAGTGTCCCCCGCCGGCCGGGGCCCAGGGCAGCGCCGCGGCGGGGCGCCCGCGCCCCTCGGCCTGCGCTCCCGGGAGCCGCGACGCGCGCAGCCGCTGCGGGGCCGCCCGGGCGCAGGGGGTCGGCCTGGGGGGAGGCCCGGGGTCCCCGGCGGCACCTCAGCCGCTGGTCTCCGCGGGGCGAGGCCCGGGTCTCCCCCGGGGCGGCCCGCGCCCCCCACGCGCCCCCGCCGCGGGCCCCACCCACCTCCTCGCGGGCCGCGCGCCGGCCGGTCCCGCCCGCCGCCTCCCGCCGCGGGGCTGCGCGGAGGGCGGGGCTGCGCGGAGGGGGGGGGCTGCGCGGAGGGGCGGGGCTGCGCGGAGGGGGCGGGGCTGCGCGGAGGGGGCGGGGCCTGTGGGGCGGGGCCGGCGGGCCCGGAGCTCGGCCACAGGCGACCGCCCCGACGGCCGAGGCGGGCCCCGAGGGCCGGGTCTTGCTGGGGCGGGTCTCGCTGGGGCGGGCCCGGGGCAGGGCCTGCCGGGTCGGGTGGCTTCGGGCCGGGCAGGAGGCGCGGCTGGGGGACGGGACGGGGACCGCGGGGCAGCGGGAGGGAGGGAGGGGCGCCCACGCCGCCGCCCCCCAACCCGCCTCCAGGCCCGCGGCCAGGGGCCCAGCAGGGCAGGGCGACCCCGCAGGAGCGGGCCCGGGCGGGCGTGGGGACGGCGCCGGCGCGCGGCCTTCGGCGGCTGCTGACCGCCCGGGGACCCCGGGCTGCCCGTGAGCAGACACCCCACTCGGTTCCGGAGCCCTCCCCGGAGGGGTCCCGCTTGGGCCGCTGTGCTGCCCCCCGAAGTGAGTGTGAAATGGGGGTGTCAAGGCGCCCCGGCCACTCTTGAGAGGCGGTGAGACGGTGCAAGAGGGTTTAATTCTGAACCCCAGAGAAGGGGGGCGGCCGGGGGGGCGGCCTGCCCGGGTCGGGCCTGCTGGCGGGCGGGGCTCCCGCTGGCCTACTTGGGGGCCGGCTTCTTGGACTTGCTGGGGGCGGATATGACCTCCGACTGGTGCAGGGGGGGCACCTTGACCCCCTTCTGTTTCAGCTGGTTGTAGTATTCGGACCTCTCCGTGATGATGGTCTAGGAGAGAGGAGCTCCTGGGGGGCGCCGCTCTGCACCCCGCCCTGCTCCCAGCGGGGCTGTGGGTGGCACTGCCACCTGTGGAGGGGGCGCGGCGGTCTCTGCGGTGCCCCCCCCAGCCACGGGGGTGAGGCAAAGCCTCACAGCCCTCTGGGTCAGTGCACCCCGCACCTGCGCCTCGCCGCTCCCTCCCCTGCCTTCCCCTTCCCTTCTCCCCCTCCTGCACCTTCCCAGGCCACAGCGCCAGAAGGCAGAGCCCCCCCACCAGGGCCCTGTGCAGGAGCAGCATCAGCCAGGGCACACCCCCCTCCAAGAGGCAAGGGCCAGGTCCCAGAGACACCAAAGAGGATGCTCGGGCGGAGCCCAGAGCACCCCAGTGCCAAGCAGGGCCCACACAAGGCACCTGTCAGAGGTCTTGCCTCAGAGCCCCGCTGAGCTTCGAAGGTGAGCAGGCCTCCCACACACAGAAGGACCAGACCAGTCAGCCGGGCGGACAGCACAGCCCGCAGGCAGTGGAGACGCCCCCACCGCCCCACCGCAGGCCTTGTGGCTGTCACAGCACCGGGCCCTCTGCTGGGCTGGAGCAACACCAGCGTGGGGGCGTCTGAGCTCTGCAGTGCAGTGCCCGCAGATGCCACGCCGAGGTGTTGAGAAGCATCGGTCGGAGGCGGCGTGGGACGAGCCCCAGGACACTCCTGCCACAGGCCCACACAGCCTACCCCCTGCACCCAGGGGTGCTGCTGCTCTGGGTCGCCGCCTACTGACAGGGGCGCCCTGGTGCTGCACCCAGGGTCCCTGCGGGGCCGAGGCAGCCAGAGCAAGAATGGAGGTCCCAGCACGCAGACCAGGTGGTCCCCACCTCCTGGCGGTTCCGGCGCGGAGCCGGGGGAGGCAGCCCGGCTCTGGCTGTACCTGCAAGGCCTCCAGGATGTCGCTGTCAGAGATCTCGCTGTTCATGGACTTGGCCCCGGTGGTGCTGAAGGTGGCCTGGATGATCTTACTTCTGAGCCTTTCAAGCTGCGAGCAGAGAGCGACCAGGTAGCCCTGGCCAGGGGAGGGCCCGGCCCCACACCGCCCCTGCGCGGCCCAGCTCCCGTGGGCTCTTCACCCCCAACGCCCGCTGAGGCTGCAGATGGCTAAAGCGGGACACTGGCCCTGCTGCCTGCATGTCTTTGCTGCCAGGTAAGTGAGCTCAGTGCTGAGAACCCACTGGCAATAAGCCCCCACTCGGGCAGACAGAGCAAGGCCAAGCACAGACCTGAGGTCTGAGACTGCCCTGCGAAATCTGAGCCTGCCAGTGTGCCCGCGGGGAAAGCCAGTCTCTTCACCCCACCGATGGCCACAGGGCTGGCTGCGGAGTAACAGGCAAGGCGGTGGCGGAGAGGCCCAGGGCCGCCTTGCGGGAGCTGTTCGGGCGACCAGACGGCCGTGCAGCCACAAGGGGCCGCTGCGGGGCGGCCAACACGCCTGCGACCTGGGCCAGGCCAGCACTGGGGCTTCTGAGACTCGGCGCCCGCTGACAGGGCGCCAGCAGGAGGGTGCGGGGTGGAGCGCTGCAGGGGTGGGGGCACAGAGCCTGTTCCCGAAGCTCTTGGTGGAGGTCACTGCTGCCTGGGGTGGCCGGCGCACCCGGGTCTCTCAGAGAGGCTGCCGAAGCCCAGGCCGAGACGCCCCAGCCCGCCACCCCCAGCCCAGGCCCGGCTCCAGAGCAGATGCAGGCGCCGAGACCCAGGCCGCACAGACCCAGCCTGACCCTCACGTCCCTCGTCCGTCCTGCTGCTGTTTCGTGTACAGTGCCGACCCCTGACGGGATCCGCTCTGCTGCTGGGCCTGAGGACGCTGCCCCCCTCCGGCCTCCCCCCACACGGTGGCATACCCGGGAGTGGAAGCTCTCCAGGGCCACGCTGGCCTGCTGTTCGGCCTGCTGGGCCATCTCGTGCTTGTTCTGCATCTCCTCCTGCAGGTGCTTCCACCGCTGCAGGTGATTCTGCTGCAGGTCTGCCTGCTCCTGCAGCTGGCCGACCTTGGCCTCCAGCTCCGAGATGGTGTGGTCCCGCGTCCTCAGCTCCAGCTCCAGCTCCAGCACTTGCTGGACAGACAGCGAGGGGAGGGGGAGGAAGGACAGAGCCGGGCGCACACCCCGTCCACGAGCCCCTCCTCTCCTCCCCCAGGGGGAGACTCTGACTGGCTCCTCGGGCCAGAACCGGCGCGGCCCAAGGAAGCGGCGACTCTGTGGGCCCCGTCGCCCGCCTCCCCCGCCTCGGCAGGGGTGCAGCCCAGCGCCGCCACCAGCCTGGCTCACCTGCTGGAGGAGCAGGTTGTCCTTCTCGACCAGCCCCAGCATCTCCTCGTGCTTCTTGTCCTCCCGCAGGTTGGAGAACTGGAAGCAGACAAGGGCTGGGCGCGGGGCTCGCGGGACTGAACGCGGGTCTGCCGCTCTCCCCGGCCCTCCGCCAGGTGGAGGTGGGGCTTTCGGGGAGGGCGCAGGGCGCACCCAGGCACTGAGAAGCCGGAAAGTAGGTGCAGCCGACGCACCTCACACAGCCCCGGGGTCTCCGAAACGCTGGGCGCGGGGGCGTCAGGGGGGCTGACGGAACGCGCTCTCAGAAGCCAAGCGCTGCAGGCTCGCCCCTGCCCCTCTCCCAGCTGGCAGGAGACTGGACGTCTCGGGCCCAGGGGATGCCAGGCCCAGGTGAGGTGGAGACCCCAGACGCAGGGGTCTGGCACTGAGCTTGGAGCCTCCCGCGCCGCCCACGGGCTCCAGAAAGCGAGGCCTCTCCATGGCAGGCAAGAGATCGTCCCGGGGCCTCTCCCCGAACCACGAGACAGGGCGGAAACTGCCCCGCGAGCCGCGTGTGGGAACGCCCCGCCGGAGGTGCCAGCGGCTCGCCCACCAAGTGCGGACTGAGGACCACGGCACCCACGGGGAACCGGCGGCGAGTGCAGGAGTCAAGAGAGCGCAACCGTCCTCTCCGCGGGTCGGAGCGGGCTGCAGCTGTGAAGCCAGAAACGATGAGGCGAGACCGTCAAGACCTCGGAAGAGCCTGGAAGTCGGGTGGAACGAGGGTGGAGCTCAGGGGCGGCTGCTGATCAAGGGGGGGTGGGAGGACCAGGTGCAGGGACGCCAGGACAGAGGCCCGGGAGCAGAGGCGGAGGAAAGGCCAGCGGGCCAGCGGGCACATTCCCGAGCCACGGACCGCGCTTCAGCTGCCCTCAAGCGCCCACGCCAATGACAACAGGCCCTCGGGAGGCTCCGCTTGGCACATTTTCCCAACACCAGGGACAAAGACAGGACCCTGCGATTTCCCAGAGAGGCGCCAGCAACCCCCAAGAGGTTCGTGCATAAAAGCACAAGCATTAGGATGCCGGGGCGTGCGCTGCGTGTCTGCACAACGCAGGTGGGAAACACTCTCCAGACTAATTCAACATCGGCATCCCGTGAACACAGAGGATAAGGACTGGGCAGACAGGCTGCCCCACAACTGCACCCAGAAGCTGTGCTCCAACACCAACAGAGGGGCAGGGGAAGAAAGTGCCAGGTGTTGGGGGAGCAGGTGTGGGGGAGCAGGCATGGGTGAGCAGGCGTGGAGTGAGCAGGTGTGGGACAGCAGGTGTGGGGGGAGCAGGTGTGGGATGAGCAGGTGTGGAGGAGCAGGTATGGGACAGCAGGTGTGGGGGAGCAGGTGTGGGATGAGCAGGTGTGGGGGAGCAGGTGTGGGACAGCATGTGTGAGGGAGCAGGTGTGGGACAGCGGGTGTGGGGGAGCAGGTGTGGGGGAGCAGGTGTGGGGGAGCAGGTGGGGGACAGCAGGTGTGGGGGAGCAGGTGTGGGGGACAGCAGGTGGGGGGAGCAGGTGTGGGGGAGCAGGTGGGGGACAGCAGGTGGGGGGAGCAGGTGGGGGAGCAGGTGTGGGGGACAGCAGGTGGGGGACAGCAGGTGTGGGGGGAGCAGGTGTGGGGAGCAGGTGTGGTGGGGGACAGCAGGTGGGGGACAGCAGGTGTGGGAGCAGGTGGGGGACAGCAGATGGGGGAGCAGGTGGGGACAGCAGGTGGGGGACAGCAGGTGTGGGGAGCAGGTGGGGGACAGCAGATGGGGGAGCAGGTGGGGGACAGCAGGTGTGGGGAGCAGGTGGGGGACAGCAGATGGGGGAGCAGGTGGGGGGGAGCAGGTGGGGGGAGTCGGTGTAGGGGAGCAGGTGTGGGACAGCAGGTGGGGGACAGCAGGTGGGGGACAGCAGGTGTGGGGGAGCAGGTGGGGGACAGCAGGTGTGGGACAGCAGGTGTGGGAGGCGGCGCTGTGGACTGTGTTTTCGCGTCTGGATACTATTTCACACCAGATCGGCGGGGCCCTCGCTGTGGGTGGGGCACGCGCCAGTGGAGAACATTCTAGAACGGCGGGAAGCGTGCGCTCTGAAGATCCAGACAGATCCCAAAGAAGAGCGGCGGCGCGGGCGCGGCTCCCGGCTCCGGGTGCCCGCGGGCTCTGGTTCTGCGCCCCGGGGCGGCCGGCGGGCGCGGCGCACCTTGTGGGACATGGCCTGCAGCTGGAGCTTCCGCTCGCGCAGCTCCTTCTCCAGCATCTGGTTGTCCATGGCGGCCTTCTGCAGCTGGGCCTCCTGGAAGTCCACTTGCCGCTGGAGAGACGTGATGGCGCCTGAGGGGGCGGCGGGCCGGGGTCAGGGCCGGGGCGCGGGTCCTCGCTCCAGCTGGGGGCGGGGGGGGGCGGGGGGGGTGCTTGAGGGGGCGGGGCCACAAGGCAGGGGCGGGGCCGGGGCGGGGCGGGTCAGGGCCGCGGGGTCCGGGCGGGCGGGGCGGGGCGGGGCGGGGGTTTTGGGGGGCCTGCCCGGCCGGCCGGCCCGCGCCCACCGACGGCCAGCGAGTATCTGCTCCTGGCGACCTCCAGCTGCAGCTGCAGCTCGCGGAAGGCCTGCTCGTACTCCTGCAGCTGCGCCATCAGCTCCTGCTCGAAGGCGTCGTCCGGGCACTCGGGGGGCCCCGCGCCCGCGGCCGGCCCGCCCGGCGCCCCGCCGTCGCCCTCCGCCTCCTCCGCCAGCTGCGCCGCGCGCTCCTCCGCCGCCGCCGCCCCGGCCTCGCCCGCGGGCCCGCCCGCCTCCTCCGGGCGCGGCGGCTCCTCGCGGGGGCCCGCGTCCGCGTCGCTGGCCCTGCCGCCCGCGGGGCGCTCCTCCTGCGGGGGACGGCGGGGCGGGCCCGGGGGTGAGGCTGGGGACCCGCGCGGCGCGGGAAGGGGTCGCCCTCGGGGTCCCGGCCGGGCCGGGGCGGGGCGGGGCCGGGTGGGCGTGGCTGGGGCCGCGTGGTCGGGGCCGGGTGGGCGGGGCGTGGCGGGCCGGTGGGTGTGGCCGGGACAGGCGGGGCGTGGCGGGGCAGGGTGGGCGGGGCGTGATGTGGCCGGGACAGGCGGGGCGTGGGCGGGTCGGTGGGCGTGGCCGGGGCGGGGGTGGGCGGGGCCTGCCTGCTGCCAGCGCCCCAGCTCCTCCTCCTCGCTGACGAAGGACTTGGTGACGCTCAGCTTCACGGGCAGCTTCCACCGGGACTCGGGGGGCTGCTGGGTTGGAGCCCCGCGTGAGCCTGCGTCCAGCCGGCCGGCAGGGCCCCCAGGCGATGCGCGGAAACCCCGACCTCCCGAGGGGGGTGACAGCCCCCGGGGGCACCCTTCCTCCTCCTGGGGTGCTGTTTCAGTGGGCGGGGGCACAGTGACCCCCAGGGATGAGCATGTGCATGTGGGGGACTCCGGGAGCATCGGGTCACGCCCAGTCACACACCCTCGCAGGCCCGAGCTCACAGCTGTCCCAGCCCTGGGGACCCCAGGACACGGAGCGGAAAGGCACCGTTTCAGGCCACTCCCTGCTGCCCGCCCCGCTGGCCCCCATGGGTGTCTGGGGAGCTTTCCCTGGAGGTGCCCGGGGGGCTCTGATGCTCCCAAGCCGCCACCCTGCTCGCGTGTCCCCCGCACATAGTAGGTCTGTGTCCTCAGGTGTGAAAGAAATTAGGAGCAGAAAAGAGGAGGCAGCCGTCCTGGGCCGCACGGCGCCCCCCGAGTGTCGCGGGACGTGGGCCGCCCCGGAAACAGAGCTGCGGCCGCTCCCGCTCTGCCCCTTCCCCTGCTCACCGCCGTGTCCTGGCCTTTGCTCCTGAGGAGGCACTTCAGGTGCTTCTTCAGCATCTCCTTCTCGCCCTGCAGCTCCAAGAGCTCTTCGTCTTTCTTCTGAACCTGCGCCTCCAGCTGGGACAGGCGCTGGACCTCCGCCTCCAGCAAGACCAGGCTGTGGTCCTGCAGGACAGGGCAGCCCTGTGTCCCCTGCTGCACGCGGTGCCACCAGCCACCCGCAGAGCCGCAGCCCAGCCCAGGGGAAGGCCTGGCACCCGGGGCCCCGGCAGCCCAGGCCCAAGAGGTGCTCTTCTTCACTGCAGCCACGCCCTGCTGAAGCACCCCAAGATCTCCACCCTGGGAGACTGGTGGCAGGCCTCTCCCCACTTCAGCCTGGATCCTCGCCAGCCCCCCAATTGTAACTGAGGACACCAGCCTTCTAGGTCACCCCTGACTTAACCAGCTCGGAAGAGAGTCAGATCCTCTGTCTCGCCCCCAACCTTCCATCCCCAAAATCTCAGTGCCCTCAATTCTTCGTATTGGAGACACAGTAAAGATGTTTTCGGATAAACAGAAATGAAAGTTTTTGATCGGCAGATCGGAGTCAGAGAAATCCGAACAGGAATTCTTCAGGCCGGAGAGGTAGGATTCCAGACAGAGTCCTGGAAGAAGAGATGACTGGAAAGTCCTCTCAGGGTCTGGAAATTAAGTGATACACTTCTGCGTCGTCCATGAATCAAAGAAAGTAAGAGAATATTTTCATCCGAGTGGCAGTGAACGTTGGACAAAGCAAAACTTGTGGGGTGCAGCTAAAGCTTGATTAAGGGCAGATTTATCACCGCGAGTGGACCTGCCCAGGGAAACCGTGGAAGTGAACGGTCTGAGCAGTCACGTCAAGAACGCAGACGAGGACCTGGACGTTACACGCAGAACATGGGCAAGAGGGACGTACGACGAGTGCAAGAGTGAACGACACAGGGAGGGAGAGGCGAGCAGGCTGCAGACGGCACAGCAGCTGACCCGCGGGGCGCCGTGGGGCGTCTTCCCTGGAGTAACCTCGCAGAGGCCGCGTCTTCGCACTGGCCGTGCGCGTCCTGCACTGGGGCAAACCAGCCCCGAGGCTGGAAGGAGCCAATCCCTTCCGCTGGGGCCGCGGAGTTCACACGGCGCAAGTGTCCAGAGTGTCTCCTCTCCGCGGGAGAAGGGCTCACTGGTGCCAGCTCCAAGGCAGTGAAGGGAGAGAGGGAGGGGGAGGGAGGGAGGGAGGGAGGGGAGATCCCTAAGGACAACCGAGCAGCTGGAGGCAGCCGAGCCTGCAGCCTTCCCTGTAAGTCCCACCCACTATTCGCATTAGCAAGAGCACCCCAGAGAACACCCTTTTGCATCTACCCGTGTGACTCTAACCAATTTGACCCCCAGGCTAGTTCCCCAGAGTGGAACTGCTTGGTCACAGGTGGCAACATTTCAAACTGTGAAATCGCAACAGATGGCAGAAGAGTTTTGGGAAGAGGGTGAAATGGTCACTCCCTGACCCACACGACCGGGACCCCGCAAGTCCCCGGGGGCACCCCCGACCCCCCCACATGTGTGTTACTTGTTTCCACAAGCTTCACCAGGTCAAGCCAACCAAGAGAAGTTGATTCTAAGAAGCGGCTTTTACATCGATAAACCGCTGTGAGACTGGCGAGGGATCGCCGGGGGAGGCCCGGCCGGCGGGGCCGGCGCGGGAGGAGCGGCGCGAACACACAGGCCCTGGCGCGTGGGAAGACGCACCCGCGAGGACACGGCCCTACGAACAAAACGGAAGTTGCCAAAACTAAAATGGGGGGAAAGGAAATCTGAATATCTGAAAAGGGGCTGAATTTCTTTGACAAGCTGCTAAGAAACCTCCCAGCACAGCTTCAGGCTTGACGCGGCGGCAGCGACCTCGCGCGGGCTCTTCCGGGGAAGAGACACAGCGAGGCGGAGCGGCTTCCTGCCCTGTTTTGCTGCGAGGCCAGAAGAGCGGAGTCCGGAACGCAGCCGTGGGACTCACAAGCCGGGCCTGGCCGGGGCCTCTCTCCGGGTCAGCGCAGAGTCACGAGAGTCCGCGGAGGCGCCGGCGCGGCTGGTTGTTACTATTTGTGAGAAAAGGTCTCCCGGGCGGGCGGAATGACTGAGCAAAGGGCGCTGGGGACCGTTGGAAGGTAAGCGCCAGGCCGGTGCAAAGGTCGGCCCCCGGGGCCTCCCCGGCTGCGCGGGGTTCAAGACAGCGCTAGCAAGCGATCGCCAGCACGAGTTCGATCCCCGGCCGGCCAGGGAGTGACCCACAGGGCGCAGCAGACCCCTCCGGTCTCCCCGCTGCTCCCCTCAGCAGTGGATTTCAGTAGATCTGCCTGTTCTGCTCCCCGCTCTGTCTCTGGTGAATCCTCTCACCCCCCGCACTCCGGCCTGCACCCCAGTTCTTGCATGCATACATAAATAAATCTCAAAAAACAAACAAACCACTGCCAGCCCCCCTGAGAGGTTACCAGAGGGGAGGGGCGGGGAACTCGGACGCTGGGAGACAGTGGGGTGGAGGCAGAGAGGTCTGGATTAGCTGACCCTGGCGCGCAGATACACGTGCGATTCTCAGGAATGGAACTCGGGGGACGCCATCAAGCAGAGTGGGGGTGATAGGCTGCCTCCCTGGGGTGAGGGTGCACGGGCCAGACCCGCGAAAGCTGGTCTCGGGAGCCCAAGAGGGTGCGCCCCGCGGGCACCGCGAGCCGCGGGCTCCTACCTTCTCGTGGATGACGGAGATGTACCAGGGCACCTGCCTCCCGGGCCAGCTGTGCTCCAGGTCCGGGCTGCGGGCTGCGGGGCTGTGCAGGCTGCGGAACTCGCAGGCGCTCTTGCTGGAGGGAAGGGGGCGCCCTGGGGGGGCAGGCAGAGTGGCCATGGCCCTGGGGACGCAGTCCCCGCGACCCCTCGCGTCCCCGCCAGGCTGCCCCCTCCACCCCCCCCCCGCGCCCCCAGCCTCACCACCCCCGCCCGGCCCCGGCCCGCGGCGCGTGCTGCGAGGAGGGAGCCTCCGGTCACTAGAGGTTCCGGGAACCTGGAGACAGGACGAGAGCCGCCCCAGCTGCCCGGGCAGGGCCACCCTGGACGCTGCCCGCCCCCCGCCTCAGCGTCCCATCGCTAGACAGAGGGGCCCCTCCTCGGTGCCGGCCGCCGCGGCCCGGGCTCTGGTTCAGGCCGAGGGGCGTCTGGCCTAGGTGCCCCTCTGGTGCACGACTGTTCACGGGGCAGCGCACGCGGGTCTCCCCGTTCCGGGGGCTGCGCTGCCCGGGTGCCCAGCTCAGGGGCAGGGAGCCGGGCTGAGCCCCTGGCGTGACCAGGCTGGCCTGGGGAGGGGCCCTGGCCGGGCCGCTGTGGAGCGGCCCCTGGGGCGCGCTGCCCTCACCATCCGGCGGCTGCCTGGGGGGCAGGTCCTCCGTGGTCTTCAAGGCGGGAACGTCCCTGCACAGCTGCCCGGGCAGAGGGGCTGTCGTGGCCGGGCCTGTGGGGTGAGGCGGGCGCCGTGACGTCTGTCACACCCCCGTGCCCCGCGCGCTGCTGGTTCCGGGCGGGTCCGGGAGACGCCTCGGGCGCGCACAAACTGAGACAAGGCTGCGTCCTCTCCCCACCATCGCTGTGTCCCCCCCAAACAACCGGGGCAGCTGCCCATGGAAGTGTCCCTCCCCGGGAAGGACAGACCCCGTGCCCCTCTCCCCCCGGGGGCAGGGTCTGCTTCCTCCAAGCCCTCATGCCCAGAGCTGGCCGAGACGCACGCCAGCCCCGCGTGAGGCCTTGGGCCCAGAGGACACGCGTGCGCGGAAATGCGCTGTTCGGGGCTGGAGGCCCGTCTGGGTGGCCACCTGGTGACCGCTGAGGGCCCGGTGCCCCTTGCGGCGCCTCACGCTCTGGGTGTGGGCTCAGGCGAGTCGGCTGCCTGTGCGCGGCAGGGCCGGCTCCTGGGCGCTCTCCCTGAGGTTTCCGGGAGCTTCAGCCCCCCACGCCCCGCCCTGCTGACTCGGGGGGTGAGAGGCCGGCAGGGCAGGTGAGGTGGCAGCAGGGGCGGTGAGGGGGGGCCCTGCCTCCAGGGCCAGTGACCGCCCCGCCTGGGCCTGATGGCAGCGCCGCTGACGGGACCCGGCTCCCGGGGGGCCTTACCGAACAGGGTCATGGACGTGGCCCTGGTGCTAAACTGGGGGCAGCCAGGCCGCATGAGGAACAGGTGCCACAGCTCCTCCAGCTTGGCAGCGAAGCAGGCGTCCTCGGAGCCGGAGTCCTGCCTGAGCTTGATTTGGGGGGACGGGCCAGTCACAGGACAGACCAGTGGGTGTTCTCGGTGGAGGGCGGGCCCAAGGTGCTGCGCCCCTGCGCCCCGTCCTGGCCTTCCCCTCACCCCCAGCACCAGCGGGGGTGCCCCAGGAGCCTGGTGGGCTCCCCAGGGGCCCTCAGCCAGGGCGACGCTTCCCTTCGGGGTCTCCTCCCCTCCCGCTCTGCGCCGTTGCTGGAGCCCCAGGGAAGGAGCAGGCTCCGGCCTGGCCACCGCGTCCAGCCCACGGGAGCTCCAGGCCGCCACCCGCGTTCATCGGAGGCCCTGCCGACCCCCAGGCGGGCGCCCCGGGCCGTACCGTCACCCTGCAGTGCGGGCTGCGGGCCTGGGCCTGCCTGCTCAGGGAGCTCGACTTCCGCTCGCAGACCCGGGAGTCCCGGCTGGCCATGTCCTGCAGCGCCTTCAGGCCGCGGGCCATCAGCCGGGGGGCACTGTTCTGCCTGCAGGGCGCGCCTCCTCTGCCGGGGATCATGGGGCGGCCGGGCGGCGGCCGGCTCCTGCAGCCCTCTCGGCCTGGAGCCCGCTGCCCGGGAGCGCGGCCTGCCGCGGGGACAGCAGCGGGAAACACGCCAGGAGCGGCCGGGCCTCCAGAGGCCCCCGCCGGTGGGGCCCGGGACAGTGTGTGGCATCACAGATGTCTCCATAGAAACAGGGCATGTCACGTACCTCCAGGAAGACGAGAGTCTGCGAGTCGGCTTCCTTGTTCCCGGGGCGGGAGCGGGAGCTGCCCCTCCACGTCAGGATGTCGCTGCCCCAAAGGCGCCTGCGGCCTCAGCAGCCCCTCCCCCGCCCCTCGGCCTCTGTGGGCTGGTGCCCCCCGATCTAAAGCCTGACCCTTGTCGGCGGCTCTGGTGAGGACAGTTAACACCCCGGGTTAAAGGCCACAATCTAGAAGCACTTCTTAGCACCCGAAGACGACACTCTCTGGACACCAGGATTGGGGTGGGGACCCCTGGCTTAGAAGCCCCTCCATTTGTACATGTGTGCAACTGGGAGTGTCTCCCCAACTTGAGAAGGTAATTTGAGCCCCAAGAAGAAAGGAAGCACCGCTGTTCATCACTCTTGAAGTTTATTCAGGGCGCCTCAGACGTGGGCTCCCCCAGTGCTGGGGTCTCCGGACAGGATTCGGGTACCGGCAGGGACACCCGCCCCCTGACAGAGGCTCTGACACTGCCCCGCGTACCCCCTGGGGGAGGCCAGGCCCGGTGTCAGTTCCTGGGGCCAGTTCCCCCAGGCCTTTGCTCCTCCAGGATCATTCGAGTTGCGTGTGGGTCGCAGTGCGGGCCGGCCCGGCGCGGCACGGGGGCCCCCAGGGAGGCGATGACGGGCCTCGGCCGAGGCGGCGTCGTGCGATGGTGTCAGGTGGGTTTCCCTGCGAGGCGCGGGTGTGGCCGACACCGTGTGCAGACGCCGTCTTCACGCTCTGCTGGGACGGGGGCGCTAAGAGTTTCCAACTACAGTTGTGGAATCGTCTGCGTCCCCCTTAACTCTTAATCATGAAAAAGAGTTTCCTTCTTCCGGGCCAGAGAGAGACACTCGTGTGATCCGGCCGTGCTGCACTCGGGGCGGGGGGGGGGGCAGGCCCCAGAGGGTGGGGGCGGTGCTGGGGTGGCTTCACCTGCTCTGTGAACATTGGTCTAAATGTTTTCCAGCATAATTTTAAACTTTTCTGGCCAGAGCCAAGTTCTCCATACTTTGCCGGTCGAGATTCAGCCTATGGTCCCGGGGGTGCTGCTAGAAGCGTCCTTCCTGAGGGGGTCTCTAAGATTCTGTGGTCCCCTGGTCATTGCACAGAAAGCTTGTTTCCTGCCACGATGACCTTAGAACAGGGTCTGCTCAGTCCTGGGAGTCGGGGGTCCTGTGTCCAGTCCTCTGATCACACGTGTCGGCTCATGGACGGCCATGGACGGTCCACTTCTAGTCATCGCACCTTCAAGGTTGGCAGGACTGCCAGAGCACGTGGTTCCCAAGATGCCCGTGCGAGGAGGGGTGGGGGAAGCAGTCAGAACCTCTGGGCCTCTGTGGTCAGGGCTCTGTCCTGTGCCTGGACTCCCACATCAGGCCAGGTGCTCCTGGGAAGGCTGTCGAGGGCCCTGCCAACACTTTCTCAGTAACCTTAGAGACTGGTGAAAACCTCGGGGCGGGAATATTTCCTTTCAGTTACGTCTGTGTGGTGACTATGCCATCTGCAAAGTGGAAATCCACACTCCAGATACCAGTTCAGTCGCAGAGTTCTTTGTTTTGGTCATTTGCATTGTACACATTTTTGACGGCACAGTGGATGACCTTTTAGGGTCACACTAATATGTTATGTCGCCTAAATTGTCGTAAACAATGTCTGTTAGCTCTGCAGCGTGCGAAACGAGTTAGTTCCTAATTCCTGGCATCTGGCAAAACTCACCTGTCCTTGACGAAGTGGATGAAAGGGGAGAGAGGACTCCCCGGGAGGGGCTGGGCACATGTCCTAGAGGCCATGGACCTCCCCAAGTGAAGCAATAAACCTGGGGGAGCCAGGTTGACCAGCTGGCGGGTCCTCACCTGTGCACTTACAGCTGCATGACACGAACCAAAGCTGACACCCAGGGTGAAGCAACAATAACGGGGTTTATTCACACAGGGGTGAGAAAGGGAGAGAGAAATCACCGGCTGGCATGTAGCCAGAGACTAGCTGTCCTGCCCAGGTGGCATCCACTAAGCAGAGGCTAAGGTCCAAGCCAAAGCCACCTGTGGCAAGATGGCTGCTTCTCTACAGACACAACCCCTCACTGCCATTTAACACCTGCCCGGGGGAGGAGTCGGGAGAGCTCCACCTTCCACCAGCGAGTTGGCCCTGAGCACCACCCTCGGGCTCAGAGTTCGCTCCTCTCTGCTCTTCTTACACTAGGGCTCCCGTGGGGCCAAGCCCTGTAGCCTGTGCCTGTCCACCTCCCCAGCAGAGGAGGCATGTGTGGCTCCTGTCAGGTCCTGGTTTCCCCCTAATCTGCACAGACGCCCTCTGTGCCCGCGGAGAGCAGTCACCGCGGCGGGGCCGTCCCCATGCCACGGGGTGCGACCTCAGGTCGTCTTGCTTGACTTCCTTTCAGCCCGATGTCTTTTGATGAAGACGCAGGTCTCCCCGGAGGCCCAGAAGGTCTGACAGCCCCACTCTGCTGGGCCAGCCCCATCCCCGTTTCCAGCCCTGAAGTTCAAGTCTCAGAGGTTTCGAGAGAAATGACAGGAAGCGCTACCGGCTCTGGCCCGGGGAGCCACGGCTGCCTCTCCATTTCCTCGAAATTAGCCGAGAGCTGTGAGCACCTGCGAGGCAGGGCCGCTGGGGGAGGGTGCCGGCAGCGACCATGCTCACCCAAAGGTGCTGTACCTGATTCATTCACCAGAGTCGTCACTGAAACGTGTGCTTTATTATGTTACACAACCGGAACCTCCCGCCAAAACACAGCTGAGAAAAAACACGTCGCCCCGAGGTCACACATCAGGGGCACGGCTGAGCCAGGCCCGACGCCGCCTGGAGGCGCCCACCACACCGGGAACAGGGCGGGCGGCTCCCGCAGACCTTGCGGCAGTGGCACGCCTGAGCTGGCCGTCATGGCGGGCACAGTCCCGCTGGGACCCAGACCCATGCCCGGGGCACCAACGCCAGCCGGGACTGACGATGTTGGGCGCGGGGCGCTGGGGGCTGGAGGCGGGGGTCCCTCCTGGCCAGCTGCTGCGTCCCCTGTCTCAGCTGCTGGGAAAGCTACACCTTTCTTGATGTTTGAGTTCTGTGGAGCAGGAGTGTCAAACGCGAGGAGCCCCTGATTCTCGCCTTCTCCCCCAAACGTGACCGAGTTCTGCTCAGCAGGAGGCGACGTGTCCAGTCAGCAGAGGGGATGGAGGGCGAGCGCCTCACCCACCCTGGGGGCCCGAGGGCACCACTGGGGGCCTCCTGGTCTGTGTGCCCCCCGGCCTGCCCTCCCTTGGGGTCCAGGGTCCTGCCTGGTGCCTCGAGCCCCCACCCCCAGTGCATGGCACGCCTGGGCATCCTGGGGGATGCAGGGCCCCCAGGAGCCTGCAGAGAAGCAGCCAGGGGTGCTCAGCTGAGCCTCTGCCTGGCCGGGGACCCCAGGGCATCAGGGCTGGGCCCGCTACTCCCGAGGTGGTCGGCACACAGGGCACATAGGGGCCCGGCATGGCCCGTCTGCACCTCGGCTTCCAAGTCTCCCCCAGCCCTGGGAGGCACCACACCCAGCAGGCAGGAGCCCGGGTCTGCGGCCCGACGACGCGGCGGCTCTGGGCGTGGTGTGCGTTCTGGGGGCTGCCGGGCCCCCAGCCCTGAGGCCTGTGTCTGATCAGCAGAGATGGCCACCGCCCGCTGGGGTGGGGACCCCGCTCGGCCTCCTCGGCGCCGACGCGCCCACCGCCAGGGCGCCCGGGCCCAGCAGACCCTCGCTGCCGCCGCCAAGTGAGCCGGTGAGGTCACTGCCACGTGGTGTCCGCCCCCGCGGCGCTGGACGTCTCACAGGCTGGCCGGACACGGCCCCTCGGCGGCGGGCAGGACCGGTGTGCTGAGCGCGCCCAGGAGCTGCCCCGGCTGCTCTGCACGGGAGCGCCTGGGCCAAGCCCGGGGGACGGGACTGGACTGGACTGCGGTGCCCACGCTGGCCTGGGGGCTCGGCGGCTTCTGGGTGACGCCAGGGACCCACACCATGGAGACCAGGCAGCTCCGGCGGGCGGTGGCGCAAGGCTGGGGTCGGCGGATTTGGTGCAGACACGGGCGTCCCACCTGCCCGGAGTGGGGCTTGCGAGGCCCCGCCGCTCTGGGCTCGTGTCGGGATGGGGCCACCGCCCGCGGCAGAGGAGGAGGGAAGCTGCCACGGGGTCCCCACCCCACCGGACGGCCTCCCTGTCTCAGCGCCCCCCGAGGACGGGCCTCTCTCCGCAGAGCTGGAAGGGTGGCCTCTGGCCCCCCGGAGGGGCGCTCCCCGGGGACCTGTCCGAGCTGCACAGCAGCGGCCCCCGGTGGGCAGGCCCGCCCTTCCTCAGCCTCTGTCCCGGAGCAGGCGACAGCCCACCTGGCGGGTCACTCGGCTTCTCAGCCCCCCGGCTGACAGCGCCCCGGGCCGGCTGAGCCGCGCAGGGATGCGAAGATGGAGGTTAAAAAAATAAGCTGACCCGCCGTGTAGAAAAGGGAGCATTTTATCAAATATTAACAAGGTCCCTAGTCCAAGGGGCGCGCCGCCTGCCGCGTGGCCAGCCGAGTGGGAGGCGCTGCCCTCCCCGGAGCCACCCCGCCAGCGCCGCTTACCCTCGGCAGGCCGCGGAGGCGGCTGGTGGGGCGCGGGCTAGCGGACACGTGTTGGAGGGCAGACGGGCCCTCACGTCCAGCAGAGGGACCCGGCTCGAGCAGACAGTCCGGCGCACGGACCTGAAAACACGCGCGGTTTAGACACACCAGCTGCCCCGGCCGCCCGGGCCGGAGCTGGAGCAATACTTTGCGGCAGTCCGTCAGCGGAGGCGCCCCGCTATTCCGCAGCGTCTCCTGGGGGGTCTCTTTTTGAGGGGGCGAGTCGGGAAGGACGGGCTGGAGGAGCAGCTCTGGAGGCCCTGGGGGCTCACCCTGGGCGCCCGGGGTCCCTGCGGCCTGCCTGTCCCGGGGGCGTCTGGGAGCCCAGCCCGAGGCCTCGGCGCAGTCCTGGGAGGGGCGCGGGCGCCTCAGTGGATCTCTCTCTCCGTCAGCTCCTCCTTGATGGGCTGGCGGCGCGACTTGCAGTCCGGGAGGTCGAAGCCGAAGTCCGCCCACTCATCCGGGCCAGCCGCTCCGCGGTTGGGGATGGTGATGGTGTGGCGCACGCGGAAGTGCACGGCCTCCATGACGCGCTGGCGCTGCAGCTCCCCGGCGCCTCCGATGGAGATGGTGGCTGCGTTGCTGCTGGTGCGGATCAGCTGCGGGGCGCCCCCGTAGTCGTGGCTCTGCTTCAGGTCCTGGAGGCCCCGCCAGATGGTCATGCGGTACTGGTCCGGGATCTTCAGCGCCCCCAGGTCCTGCAAGAGCGTGGGGCCCGCAGCCGCCGTTGGAGGGTCTGAGTCTGGGCGCTGCCCTCCCGGGACCCTGCCCAGGCCCAGCCCCTGCGGCCCGGAGGGTGGGGATGATGTGGGTGGGAGCGGCCAGCCTGTGCCGGCGGTGTGGCCACGGGGCGGCCCTGGCCCCTCGCCACCCCCCGAGGAGTGGCGTGGCTTGTCCACGTGGGGCCTGGGGCCGCATCGGAGACAGGACAGAGGCAGACTCAGAGGCGCTGGAGAGGACTGTATGGCGAGGGGGTCAGCCGGACTCGGCAGGGGGTCACCAGGGTGGGTGGGGCCTGAGGGAGCCGGGCCAGGCGGAGCCGAGCCAGACCGAGGGCCAGGACTGCAGAGGGCTCAGCCATTGAGTGGGAAGTCCCGCCCCCCAGGGTGCGCTGCGTCTCCGGGGCTCGGGTGGCCCCAGGCTAAGGGTGCTACAGCTGGAGCAGCTCCTACCAGCAAGTTGGGAGCCCAGAGGGACCCCCTTGGCCGGTCTCCTTGTTTAACCCAAAGTGAGCCGAGGCCCAGGGTGTCTGGGGAGGGCATGGCCTCGGGCAGGTGCTGGGCTGCCCCGTAGCTGGCACTGTGTAGATCAGCCCGAAGGCACCCCCATTCTGTACTCTGGGCCTATCGCCCCAAAAGTGAAGGTAGCCGGGCCGGTGGGTGCTAGTGAGCCCGGCCCGAGACTGTCCAGTCCAAGCAACAGACCCCTGTGGGGAGGCCTGGTTGTCCACCTCACCCCGCGACCAGGGCTCGCTGGCCAGAGCGGGGACCTGGGCTCGCTCGGAGGAGGGCTTTAGGGTTCCGCTCCCCTCAGGGGGCGGGCGGGGGTGAGGAGCCAGGGCCCAGTGGGCGCAGCCCTGCCACGCGGGGGGCCGGGCAGTTACCTCTATGGTCAGGTTCTGCAGGTGGTAAATGTTCTGCAGCCCTTGGGAGGTGAAATACTCGATGCAGTTGGGACACCCCAATCCCGTTAAGAAACTGCAGAGAGAATTCGGGAAATAAGTGTTAACCCTCGGTGCCTGGGGGGAGGCCTGGGGGTGATCCCGCGCCCACAGGTCATGCACGTGGGCTTCACGGTGTTCGGCCGCACCCACACGGACCCCGCACTCCCCCGAGTATCTGCCAGACACTCACTCCTGCCTCTGCCCGTCCCGGGGAGGCGGCAGGGACACCCCAGGCCAGGGTCCGGAGCTGCCATGGGGTCACGGTGAGTGAGTTACTGGCTGGGCCCGGCAGCAGCCACGTACCTGACCAGGCTGGGGTCGGCATGGTAGGGGGGTGGTGGGGTGCAGTGGGACCCCGAGACCATGGGCTGCGAGCCGTGTGCTCCGTTCATCTCCCCGTTGGCTGGCAAGGCGTGGCCGTGATTGTTGAGTATCCCGGGGCCTGGCAAAAGGCAGGCCGAGGGTCGGCGCGAGCCAGCCGGCGTGGACAGAAGGGACGCGCGTGGCCATGCCTCCGCCTGCAGGCCGGGGCCTGAGCGGGCAGGTGCCTGGACCAGGCCGCCCTTTGGGCATCCCCCATGGCCCCTGCTGCCCGGCGACTCACCCATGGGCCCCAGGTTGGGCCCGGCGGCCGTGCTGTGCGGGGGCGGCTGGCCCACCAGCTGAGCGACGGGGGGCAGCTTGTTCACGGACCCGTGTACTTTGCTCACTGGCGAGAGCACCGGCCCGTAGGACGCCGGCTGCAGGTGGCTCCTGCTGGGGCGACGGCTGGCCTGGGTGAGACGCACCGGCTACACCCCGCGCTACACCCCGGGCCGCAGGGGACTGAGCTGGTCCCACCCAGGGTCAGGGAGGCCGCCCTCCTCGGGACGCCGCAGGGCGAGGGAGGGACGGGGTGTGGGGGTCACGCGCCTGGGATCAGCCTGTCCGGGAGGCCCCAGGGAGGCCAGCGGTTTGCGGGGCTCCTGGTGTGGCGGGCACGTGGTGGGGGCGGGGGGGGGGGCCGGGGCTGGGGCGGGGCGCTCACGGCCTCTGCAGGAGCTGCTGCTGCTGCTGCCGGTAGGAGTCGACCAGCTGCTGCGGCACCAGCTCCATCAGCTCCAGGCTCTCCTTGACCTTCATCAGGATCTCGAAGTTCTCGCGGCCCCGCACCTGAGCAAGGAGGCGGACTCTGGGCCGGCGAGCACGGGCTCCTCCCGCCGGACCCCCACCCCCCCCCAGGGGCACCCTGGGCTTCCAGCAAAGTGTCTCCTCTTTTGTGGGGTTCCCAGCACCCCCTTCCTGCCTCTTCCCAGAAGCAGGTGTGAGCGGTCCTGCCCCCGGAAGCCACGCCCACCGTTCCCGACCCCTCCCTGCTCTCAGCACACTTGGGGTGCTGGGCCGGGGCACCCAACAAACACACGTTTTGAGAACAGGGGGGCTGATTCCCGAAGGTCTCAGGAGGCAGCCGCTCACTGCGGGAGGAGGCCCCACGCACCGGAACTGGGGCTGAGGACATGGGCCCTAAGTCCCGGCCCCGCTGGGGACTCGCGTCACTCCCGGGTCCGTCTGCAGCGAGACTGTGTTTGGAGGCGAGTCCCGAGGCCGTCCTCCCGGGCCCGGCCTGGGCCGCTGGGTGGCTGCTGCCCGCCCCGCCCTCGCCCCCGCCCGCCCGGCAGGCGGCAGCACACTCACGTGCATGTAGAACATGTCCTCGTCCCCGTGCCGCCGCTTCTTCACGTTGGTGCCCAGGGCAGGGATGGCCGGGGGGCTCTGCTTGAAGGCTGCAAGGCCGAGGCGAGGGACGTCGGGCGCGGGCAGGGAGAAGGCGAGACCACCGGGACCCGCAGGTGCGTGCGCCCGAGGGGGCCCGTCCGCTCGATGGGCGCTGGGGCCGGGCATGCAGCATGCAGCTGGGGCGGGGGAGGCTGCAGGGCATGCGGGGCCCCGAGGGGCAGGCCCTGAGCACAGATGCAGGCTCACCACCCCCCCAGCCTCTCTCCTGAGCCCGAGGGGCTGACGTGCTGGGCCCCCCGACGGCCCCGCCGCTCACACACGCTTGCTGGCGGCCCCGTTCTTGGCGGCGCTCTCGTTCAGGGCCTGCTGCTCCCGGTAGTGGTCCTCGTCGGCCTTGCGGTCCCGGCCGGGGCAGGCACAGATGCGGCCCTCGAAGGACCGCCGGCCCAGCACCTGTCCGCTGTCGGCACAGCCGCCGCTGTGGGCTTTAGGGCCCCTCGATTCTGTCGCCCCCACCCACCTCAGACCCCATGGGCTTGGCCCGAAGGGCCCCGGTCAGAGTGGAGCGCCCGCCCCCCCCCAGCCCGGGCGCACGGCCCGCAGCCCCGCCCCAGGCTCGCCTCCCGCTGCCACCCTCGCCCTCGGCCCCTGTCCCCGGGCCCGGCCCGGACTCACTCCCGCGCCTCCAGCGTGATGATGATGAGGATGGGCCGCCGGTTCATGCCGCCCACGCAGCTGCTGTTGCACATGAAGTTGTACAGGATGGTGGTGAACTCCGTCCCCACCTGCACGGGCAGGCAGACCCCGCGGCGTCACGCGGGCTCCCGGGCGCGGCGTCCCTGTCCAGCCCCTGGACCTGGTTCCGGGGGGGCCCAGGGGCCTGGCCCTGATCTGAGGTTCTCTGCCCCCCACCCCCCATGATTCATTCGCCGCCCTCCCGCCCCTCCCACTGGCGCCGGGCTGGCTCGGGCCCAGCGGCTCCGTCCTGCTCACGGCTCTTGGGAGGCGCAGGCTGCGGTCTGGCTGCCCCCACGCTCCCTGGCACGGGCCGCAGGGCATCTGGGTCTGTGGTTGAGTGGGGTGCTCAGAGGCCTCTGGCTCCTCCCCTCCGCCCCAGGGAGTTGGCAGAGGCTGAGGTGTGAGCCCAGCAGGTGACCCTCGGCACCCCAGAACCACAAACCGGAGGCCCTTGTCCCGGCTGCCCTGAGCCAGGGCCCTGTGTAAAGACCTGGCCTTTCCCCAAACGGCGGCGCGGGGCGGCCGCCAGGGGGCGGGGAGCCCCGCGTCCGCGGGAGGCGCAGGTGGTCCCTGGCGGTGCTGAGGCTGCTGCTCTCAGAGGACTGAGGGAAGATCCTGGGCGGGTGGGGCCAGGGGGCCGGGCCTGGGCACCAGGGTGGGGATGGGGTGGGGCTGAGGACCGAGAGGGGCTGGGGGCGGAGTACAGCTTTGGGGTCTAGGGACTCTGGTAGAGGAAGGTGGGGGCTCGCCGCTGCCCAGCCCGCCTGGGGAGCACGGCCAGGGTGCTCTCTACACCCCCGTCCCGGCCCCTTCTGCTGCGGCTCCTCCACCCCTGCTCTTCGCCCAGCTGGGCCCTCACCAACCCCCACCAGGATCTTCTGCTACTGTCAGGCCAAGGTCAGACCCCCAGGGTCTCTCTGCCCTGCCTACCTCTTGCAGCCCCCCACCCCCAGCTCCATACGTACCCCTCACAGGCCTCTCCCCTAGCAGGCTCCCCCACCCCCATCCCGGCCAACCCTGTCCTCCGGCCTCACCCCTCCAGCTGCAGCCCCAGCGCAGGCCCAGGCGTGGGGCAGGACGGGAAGCAGAGGGGGAAGCTCAGGGTCGGCGGGCCCACCCCACTCCAGGGCTGGGGACTGATGCCCAGAGAGGTCGGGGGCGGAGGCAGGGAGGGCTCCCAGGGCAGCAGCAGCCCCCCAGCCTGAGGGTGGCAGCAGGGCCCCGCGCACCTGTGGGGGCTCGTAGGGCACCATGACGCTTTGCCGGCCGGTCACGGGGTCCTCCACGTACTGGGAGAGGTTGTTGCCCTCCACGCGGATGAGGTGGCTGGCCGGCGCGGACTGTCCTGCCGGAGGGGTGGCCGCTTCAGGGGGCGCCCAGCCAGCCACCGCGGCCGGCACCGCAGACTGGGGACCCCGGGGCCCAGCCCGAGGAGCTGGGGCTCCTCGTCCCCCCCAGGACCCGCCGGGGCGGGGCATGGGTGGGAAGAGCTGAGCCTGCTGGCGGCCTTGAAACGCCCCTGCCTCCCGCCGGGGCCCAGCATGCAGGGGGCACGAGTCGCGGGGGACACGGGCCGCGGGGGGCACGGGGGCCTCACCTTCATTGAAGTCCCGGCCCAGCTCGTGGTTGGGGCAGCGCTTCACCACCTCCGTCACGTGCTCCGCCTTCTTGTACACGGGCATGGCGCGGATGGCGGTGCCTGGGGGCGGCGGGCTGGACACCTTGATCTGGATGGGGCAGGTCTTGGCGATTTGGCAGTACAGCTTCTTCAGCAGCGGGGAGTACTGGGGGGGAGCCCGGGCGAGGCGTCACCCCGGCCCACGCCCCGCCCGGCGCTGCCGGTCACACGCCGGGATGCCGCCCAGCTCTGAGGCCGCCCGGGGCGCGCCACCCACAGCCCCGCTGTCCTGCCCCCGAGCACCCGCCTGGACCCCACTCCGCAAGGGCTGGCGGGTGTGGACGTGGTGACCGCAGTGCCCCGGGCCCGGGGCCGCTCCCTGAGCCCACCAGCTGGACGGCAGAGGCACCGTGCCTCCTTCGTGCATGAGGATGGTAAAGGCAGGAGAGCAAGAGGGGCCACTGCTGTGGGGGGGCTCCCTGGACCCGCCTGCAGGGCCTTCAGCTCTGAGAGCCGCGGGGTTTTACGTCTGTCTTTGCAGGCGGGTGTCAGGCGTCGCGGCCGGGCGCCCGCCCCCGTGTCAGGCTGGGCTTTGAGAGCGCCCCTGGAGTGGGCGTCTGGGGTGAGTCCTGCAGCTGGGTGTGGGCACTGGGGAGCGGGTGCCCGGCCACCGTCCCGGTACCCCCCGCCCAGGACCTGCTCCGGGAGGGCCCGTGACGCCTTCCCTGGCCTCAGCAGACACTGCTGGGCACCTGCTCGCAGGCACCTCCGGAGCACCCCGGGGTCCAGATCGCCCAGCGGAGAGCGCAGGCTGGCTGCTCTGGAGGTGACCTGGAGGTGAGCACAGGGCTGCTGCTTTCCCCGCTACCTGAACCCCAACAGCTGGCCGGGGGCCCATCCGGGTCCCTCCTGCCTCCTTCCCCGAGGCTTAAGGGGGACGGTCCGGGTCTCAGGTTCTCAGGACCCGTCCTCGCACCCCCAGCACCCCCTCGGCCCCAGCAAGTGTCTCCTGGCACCGGAGCGTGGCGGGGCAGCCGGGGGCCTTCCTGGGGCCCCCCAAGAGGCTCGGGGGCGAGTTCGCAGGCGCAGAGCAGCCGGGCTTAGCGTCAGCTCGCGTCCACCCACAGGGGGCTCAGAGCAGAGCAGCCCGCCGCAGCGGGGTGGGCCCAGCAGCCCCTCTGGGGGGCAGGCCACTCACGGCTGGCCTCTGGCCTCCTGCGTGGACCCCTCTCCTGGGTCATCAGGCCCGAGGGGGGCCCCGCGGGCTGGGGCTGGGGCTGGGGCTGCCAGGTGTCCGCCAGCCACAAGGACGGAGCCTGAGAGGCGCCCCCAACCTCCTCACCCAACAGATGGCCCCGAATGAGGGGGGTGGGCGGGGGCTTCAAGGCCCGCCCCCCTCCGCCCCACCCCTGCTCCGCCGCAGCATCAGCTGCTCAGGCTCCGGAACTCGGGGGCCCCTGCCGAGGGGGAGGGACAGCGCGCGAACCCCCACTTCCAGTGCGTGCAGGCCCAGGTGGGGTGCCCCCCCCTCCGCGATGTCCCGACTCCCCAGCCAGAGGCTGCAAAACGCAGTCCACGGCCGGGCGGGGTGGGGGGGGGGCGCGAGGGGACGCCCCGCCCCGGGGAGGAGCGCCGGGAGCTGTCCCTGGTACCGGCCGGACTGCGGGCCGGACCGCCCCGCGCAGGGGACAGGCCCTCCCACCGCGGGCCCGGGCAGGGTCACCGCGGCCTGGCCCGTCCCCACGACCCACAGGGTGTCCCCACCAGCGCTGCCCCGCTCGGCGGCTGCCGTGGCCCCGGACGCACACACCCCCCGCCCGCACCCCGCAACGCCCAGCAGGGCTGAGCCCGGCAGCGTCAGGGGTGCCCGTGGCCGCCACGCCCGCGGCATCAGGCAGAGAAGAGGGTGCTGGGTGACAGGGCCGGGGGGGGCCTGGGAGAGATCCCTGGGGGGCAATCCTGGGTGGGGTGTGGGGTGAGACCTGTGAAAGAGGAAGGCCCCCCAGAATGCCCAAGCCCTTCCCAGGGCCAGCCCTGACCCAGGAGGCCGTGAGCCCCCAGCCCGGCCGGGCCCGGCTCCCCTGCCTCTAGCCTCGCCGCCCCGGGCCGCGCCGGGCCGCGGACACTCCTGGCCCAGCTGCACGGCAGAGCGGGCCACGTGGGCCCTCCCGCCCGCCTCCCTTGCCCAGAACCGCTAGATGGATGTGTTTCAACAGATTCCCAGCCGATAAAATCTTATTTATCTTCGACTGTTGACACGGCGTCGTCTAGACTTGCCTGCTCCAGGATGCGCACCCCTCCGCGCGGGCGGGCCTGCCCCCCACGGCCGTCTCTCCCGGCCCGCCCCTCGGCCGGCCTGGCTGGGCGCCCCGGGCCCGGCGGGCGCGGGGGTGGCGGGTGGCGGGCTGCGCGGTGGCTGTTAATTTCCTCGCGCGCTCGCTCGGCAGCTGGGTGCCCGGCGCGGGCAGGTTTGGGCAGGAGGAGTGGCGAGGTGATAATGACTTGTCTGTCATTTTCCAGGGACGTGTAGCATCTTGCAAACCGCAAATACCGTTAACCAGCTTGGGTGAGTCTGTTACAACAGATTCTGGAGCTGGGGCCTGCCGTGGGGGCTTTTATTTTTTAAATGGTTTTTTTTGCAGCCCACTTTTATCTGCGTCTGCGTGTGCGCGTCCGCGTGCGTCTCCCCGCCCCGGGCTCGCAGCCCGCGAGGGCCTCAGAGGCCTCCGCAGACCCTCTCCCGCCTTAGACACCACAGCCGATGCGCGGGGCCCGTGGCAAGACACTCTGGGTTCACTGGGTGATGCCCCCAATTCAGCAGCCGCCAAGGGCACTGACTACTGTGCCCCAAGGACCTTGTCCTGTTCTGTCCCCACCACGTCCCCCGCCGCACCCACACGCGCACTCAGTGGAGAGCCGAGAGCCCCGGCCGGCGCCCATGCTCGCTGGGGGCTGGTGGGTGACGGAAGTCACCAGCCTGGAGGGGCTGTGCTGTGCCGTGACAGTTGCCCCCCACTACCATCAGGAGGTGTGAGGGTCCACACACAAGGACCAGCCAACACCCCACTTTGCCAGGGGCCTGGCTGCTGGAGCCTCCAGGGGTTCCTGGACGCCACATTGCCGCTGCCAGTACTGGACCTCAGGGATGCCCCAGAGTGAGGAGGCTGCTGTGGGGCCCCCGGAGAACCTGGCTGGGGAGGGGCCGCTGACACCCCCTTGGGCTCAAGGGGATGAGGCAGAATATTCTGGGGGTGCCCAGAGGCCCTGCCTACTGTCCAGGGCATGCCCAGAGGCTGCGGACAATAGCTGCCCTCTGTGTGGGGCAGGTCTTGGGCTGGCAGGCCTGCCTGCCGCACCCCCAACCCCCTCCCAGAGGGGTGAGCAGGGACCCCTGCCATCTGGGGGCACCGTGCCCAGCTCCCCCAGCCGCAGGCCTTGGGCCATGCAGCCCCTGGTCCCGCCCATGACGCAGGCTGGCAGATGCCTCTGGTGGCCACCCCAGGCTGAGGAGCTGTAGGAAGAAACCCCAGCCCAAAGGGCCGTGTCAATTTGCTGACCCCCCGGCCCCGCCCCCGTCCCAGTGGCCCGAGGCGCTTGGGCCCAGCTGCTCCCACTTGCACTGGTCTGTCCCGGCCACCTGGGGGGGGCGCATCCTGCCTGCCAAGGGTGCCCTGGCCTCCTCTCCTCCGCCCCGGGCGCACCAGAAGCTGCTCTGGCAAGGGTCCAGTCCGCAGATGGCCCAGGATCCAGCTGGTTCTGTGACCCAAGCCACGGGACACCCTGGCCCAGGCCTCGGAGAGACGGCCCTGCCCGCCTCGCCCACAGCAGGGGGCCCGCTGACCACTGGGGCCTTGCAGCTCAGTTGTCACCAGGGTCAGCCTGCCTGGGCCCTACACAGGACAGTCTTGGGAGCCTCAGACTGTGGGCACCAATTCGGGGTACGGGGCTGCCTAGGGGCAGACACAGATGGGCGCCGCCATCCTCAGGACCCTCTGGACAGCTTCCAGGCTGGGGCTGGACCCGCTTGGGGGCAGGGGCTGGGCAGGGAGGCCAGCTGTGGCCACAGCAGGGCCCTGGGTCCCGCCTCTTGCAGGCCGGCGGCCAGGGTGGCCCTCCCCTCAGAAGCTTCCCATCCAGAAGGGGAGGCGCCGGGGGTCTCCAGAGGGAGCTGTTGCCTGTGAGCTACGGTCATTTCTCGGCTCGTAAGGCAGCGGGTGACCGCAGCCCAGGTTTTCCTGAGCGTTGCGAACGTCCGGCGACGCAGCGGGCCAAGGAGATGTCAGCTCTGAGCTCTGCCCTGGGGGGGCCGCGGCCCGGCCTGGGAGGAAGGAGACCTCCCAATGGGCAGGGCAGGAGAGGCTGCCCCACTCCTGATGCTTAGGATGGGCGGGGGGTGTGGGGCCCCGGGGGTGCTGCCAACGCCCCACCACACGCTCCAGAATCCGGGGAGCGGTGTCTGTTTTGGGAAGAAGACCCAGAAAGGCCATCATTCCCATGGACACCCGCTGGGGGCAGCTCCAGCCCCGCCCTGCAGCATGGACTCCCCCAGGGCTCCCCCCAGGGCTCCGCAGGGCCCCGCGTGCCCCCCAGCAGCTGCGACTCAGGCCGGCCCCTCAGCCGCACTAGGAGCTCCAGGGGCCAGTGCTGTGACCCCCCCAACCCAGCCGCTCCCTGCGCGAGGGCGTGGGGCTCGGGGCGCCCCACAGCAGCGCAGGCGACCACGGCGGCTTCCCCCGAGTGTGCCCGTTTCCCCGTCAGAATCCGCGTTTCATCTCCACAATAAACATTGTCAGCGCCCTTCCCTCGGCTTCCCATGCGCGTAATTGCTCCTGGTGCCAGTAAAAGGTATTAATTCCACTGCTGCATTCCATAAACTTTCAGGATAACGCAATTGATACCGCGGTCGTGTCGGGACATCTCCGCTATTATTTTCCTGCTTGCAAACCTCCGAGGGGCTGGAAAGTTTTCTCCCAAATCCATTAGTGTTGACTCAGCCGCCTTCACCAGGAGCCCAGAGCCGCCTCGTGCGTCCCCAGCCCCCTCTGTAGGCCCGTGCCCCGGGCCGGGCGCCTCCTTGGGACCAGCTCCCGGGACAGACCACACCCCCCGCCAGGCCGCGGCTGTGCGCTGGCCGCCCACTGGCCCCGCGTGCACCCCTCCCGGGCCTGCCGGGGCCCTCCTGCGAGGCCGCTTGGCTGCAGCCACACCCAGCCTTCCCGTCTGCCCCCAAGCCCCCCAAACACCAAGGACAGCCTCCTTCCCTGCTGGGCTGGACTGTGCAGAGGCACCTCTGGACAGAGGCTCCTCTGACTCCTGTCCAGGTCACGGCCAGCAGTGGGCCCAGGAGGGGAGTGGCCTTCGGGCCCCCACCCTAGCGTCCCGGAGAGGGAGGGACAGGGATAGAGGCACCCAGGTCACCACCCCGGGCCGAGCCCCGCCCGCCACAGGCCCAAAGAGCGTCCCTGGCCCGACGCGCAGCGGCTTTCTATGCGCTGTCCCTCCCGGAGGCCTTGCAGTGTCCACCGCAGCAGCGGTGTGAGGCATCCCTGCAACCGGCCCTAGGCTGAGAGGTCCCAGGGCCCGCTCCCGAGTCCCACATGACCCGCCGGCTGCACCCCCTGACAGACGAGGGTGCAGAGCCCTGGAGCAGAACAGGCACCTGGACCCCCAAAGGCAGCCGGGCTCCATCACCACCTCCACCAAACTCCTTCCCGGAGCCTCCTGGGCCCAGCTCTGCCATCTGGAGCTGAACTCCATGCCCTTTCAGTGACCCGCAGCTGCCACCCCTGACCCGCTAGGGCGGCCGGAGCCCCGCGCAGCCACCAGGCGAGGCCTGCACGTGTGTGTGCACGTGTGGGCGTGAGCGTGTGCCTGTGTGTGCACGCGGGTGCCGTGTGTTCACGTGGCGAGGAAGGCTCACACCCAGGCCTGGGCACTGAGGCTCCGGGCCCCTTGCAGGCGTGGGCTCCAGTCCGAGGGAGGCTGCTGGGGGATCCCCGCCCCAACCCCCCACAGCACCCCAGCTCAGGCAGAGGCCAAAGCCCCACCGCAGCGGCCCCTGGGGGCTGGGAGGGTGTTCCCGGGTGGGGGAGGGGTGGGGCGGTCAACCTGGAATTGCACTTGAGAAAAATAGGAATTATCTGCCCGTTACCAGGCGGCCGGCGGGGCCTGGCTCGGGGACGGGGACCGGGCAGCAAGCCCAGGCAGCAGCCGCACAGCCAGAGCCCCGGAGCTGTGAGCCAGCAGCTCCGTTCCTTCTGCCCTGAGAGCCAGGCCTGCCGCCCCCTCCCTGGGCGAGGCAACAGCCTGCAGGGGGTCTGCTCCCCAGAGCCGAGGTGCCAAAAATCTCATTATCAATGTTTGTCCCACCTCCACCCGCGAGGGCTGGGAGGGAACAGAGGCTCCTCCTCCGGGCTCAGCTCGCTGGGGGCTCGGGCTCCAGCAGGGAGACCCCCGCTTGGGGCCGACCCACCCGTGGCCCCCTGGGCCGCCTGCCGTGGGGCTACCCCACAGGTGACTCAGCACCAGGGCTGCTGTGCCCACACCGTGGCCTCCGCTGGCAGAGGTGGCCAGCAGAGGGGCGGCTCCCAGCTCCCACCCCTGCGTAAGAATCAGCTCAGACCACCTGAGGCCCTCCCAGCCCCCGACACTGCGGACACCCCAGACCACAGAAAGGCGGCTCCCTGGGGATCCACAGTTCCCGTGCTGGGACCCCAGCAGGGTGAGAACAACCTCCCGCGGGGAGGCGTCTGCTCTGGGCCTGGAGCTGGGCTGCTGGGCTGTGTGAGCGGCGCCTGGGGCGGAGCTCAGAGCGGGGGTGACAGGACCCCACGGGACCAGAGAAGCCTCAGCAGGGGCCCAGGCTCCCTTGAGGCCGCCCAGGCAACACCACGGCCCCAGCTGCCTCGGGCGGGCACAGAGCGCAGCAGACGCTCACAGGAGGGCCTCTGGGCGGCAGCGGTGGGGCCCCTCCGCCTCCGCCCAGGGGCCGGGCCAGCCCTGGGGCCTTGCCTGAGCCTCCGCCCAGCCAGGCCACCTGCAGCCTGACCCGCTGTCTGCCTCCGCCCACCTCCCGCCCCCCCCCCCCCCCCCCCCCCCCGAGCGTGGGAAAACCACAGCCTGGGCTGGGCGGCCTGGAGCCCATGGGATGGGTCTTAAACCAGTGGAGCAGGGGGTGGGCACCAGCTCAGTGCCCCCTGGGGCAGGGACAAGGAAGCTTAGGAAGCCTCAGCTCCGTTCCCCTGGGGAGGGCCTGGGGCGAGTGCGGAGCTCTGTTTCCCCGAGGTGCTGCCAGGGTCTGCCTGGAGGCCCTCGCCAGGGCTCTTGCGCCCCTCCTGGAGGGTCCCTGGCCGCCCTGCTCCCCACAGCCCGCCCGTGCACCCCATACTCAGGCCAGCTGGGATCTGTCCTGGGGTGTGGGCACCCCGCAGCCTTCCCCTGCCTGGCAGCCTGTCTTCCCCAGCAGCACTGCGGACAGTGCCCCTCAGGGTTGGGAGCACAGAGGGGGCTCGGGTACAGCTCCCCTGCCAACACCCCCTTCACTGCCCCAGCCGCAAAGCGGAAGCGGCGACTCTGCCTGTGGGACCCCGGGGCGGCAGCGGCAGCACAGATGGGAGCACTTAGCTGGGTCCAGCACAGAGCCAGCGGCGACGGGCATCGGGAAGTCAGTAAAACTGCCGACGTCCACGTGGCCGGGGTGCCCCGGGGTCCAGGGGTTTGCCAGACCTCACACCCCGAGACTTGCAGGCAAAGCCCAAGTCCGCTGACGCCAGCCACACCACGCTGGCCATGCCGCGCTTGGGGGGCGGCCTCCGTGGACCCGGGCTGGCGCAGACGGTCCTCCCTCCCAGGAGGGGATCCCGACGAGCCCCTGCCTGAGCGCATGGGTGCGGGCAGCACAGGCTTGGGGAGGATGCCCCCACACCTCCGACTGCGTCCATCCTCCCTGGAGTCCCGCGGGAGGCTGACCGGCCCTGGCCCGCGTCCGAGGGACGAGCAGGTTCAGACTGCCCGCCCGAGACCCGCCTCCTGGCCGACGCGCCCCAGGGCCACCTGCCTCCCGGCCAGGCGGGAGCCCCGTGCAGCCTGATGGGTTCCCCCTGCCGGCCCGGCACACGCCCTCCCCCGCCCCCGCCCCGCGCCACCTAGCAGGGGCCAGGCCACGGGGACAGCCGTGCCTGCCCGCGACGTGCCCCGCCCCAGGCCCCGTGCAGGGCCACTCACCGTCCAGGTGGCCGACTTGGCTGTGCTGGACTGCTGGAAGGTGACCTCGAAGTGGTGGGGGCCGGGGTAGTCGGTGTTGGAGGGGATGACAGGCGCGGGCGACATGGTGTCAAAGGTGGAGCTGGGCTGGGCGTAGGGCGAGTGGGTGGGCACGCTGGCGGCGTGCTCCGGGGGGTAGGGGCTGGCCGAGGCTGCGCGGCTGCTCATCTGGTCCATGGTGCTGCTCAGCAAATTGAACTGGGACTGGGCGGGAGGGGCGGAGGGAGGGAGCACACAGTCAGGCTGGAGCGAGGGCCGGGTGTCCTGTTACAGGAGCCTTAAAGGGCCAGGGCTCAGTCATCCCAAATATTTCCTCGGTCCCCCCACCCGACAGGTCACTGCTTGCGTTGGGATGAACTGACATCTTCACCTGGCCCTCCCTCTCCACCCTTGCTCGGTGCCAGGGGCTGGGGCTCCACCAGGCACACCTGGAGGGGAGCTGCCTGGGGGGGATCCCTGCCCGCACGCCCTCGCGCTCCCTGCACTCCCTCTGACTCGGCTCAAAGCGGACGGGCCCAGGGAGCCAGCAGTGGGAGCCACGCCCCTGGCGGGCAGAGGTGGACCCCTGTGGACAGGGAGCACCCCCAGCCTCTTGGAGGGCTTGCCCAGGCCCCAGGGAACCATGTCTGCCCCCCCACTCTCAATGCCCCCCAAGGGGGGCAGGTGGGGGCAGCTCATGGTCAGCGCCCCACAGGCTGCTCCATCTGCATGAGAATGACCCGCACCCCAGTCCCCCACCTCCCCACAGCAGCCCAGCCCCTCCCCCAGGCCCACCCCTGAGAGAACAGGAAGTTACAAGGGGTGCTGCATCCCTCTGGGTGGGGACCCCATGGGCCCAGCCTCCACCTGGAGCTAGGGCGACCCCACCGAGGGGAAGAGGGGCCCTGTCTTCGCTCTTCTGTGCCCTAACCTGGCAGAGCAAGCCCCACCTGAGCTGGCCAGGACGCCCCTTCTCCCTCCTGGAGCTGGGGTGGGGGTGGTTGCCAGAGGCCAGAGTGGCTGAACCCCCCGGCCTCCAGGCTGGGCCCGACCCCGCTCTGGCAGGGTGGCAGCCCAGGCCCGCAGTGCAGACAGAGCATGGGAGGCTCGGAGTGGACAGCGACTTGCCGGGGGTGCCGGGGTGGACAGCGACTTGCCGGGGGTGCCGGGGTGGAGTCGGGGTGGGGGAGCCAGAAGCCCTAGAACAGACTGACAGGAGCGTCTGCAGGCAGGAGTTGGGGGTCCATGGGGGGCAGCCAGAGCGGAGTCCCGTGCCCTGCCCCCCTCCCACCAGCTGCCTCCTCCAAACTGGGAAACAGCCTTCCTGGCCGTCCCCTGCCCCCCAGGAACCCCCAGGCCTGGGGTGACGCTGCATACAGCTCCGACCTCGCCAGTTTCTCCAGGGTCTGCAGAGCCCCCAGAGCCCCTCGGCCCAGGGAGGGGCGTCTTCAGTGGGGAAAACCCTTTGACCCCCCAGAGGCCCGGCAGGCCCTTCCTCCAGAGCCCCAGCCCTCCAGCTCCCCTTGGCAAGGGCCCCCAAGTCAGGCAGAGCCCTGTGCCCGCCCACGCTCCCCCAACACGCACAGCTGAGCGGCCGGAGCTAAAATGCCACCAGCGGGCCCTCAGGTGTCTGCCGCGGCCAGCCTGGGGCTCGGGCACTGACCCGGCTCCCCACTCCTTCCTCGTCTCCTGCACCTTCAGCCTTGACACGGGGAGGGGGGCCCCAGTGTCACCAGCAGGTGAAGGGGTAACGCAGCGGGTAATGTGGGGTACGGTGCGAGCTGCACCCGGGGCCTCGGGACTCCGGCCCAGCAGCCAGACTCGAAGGCCGACACCCCACATGCTGCGCAGGTTCACGGGACAGGCAGACGGGGCGGGCACCGCGTAGCGGGGTGACGGCTTAGGGGCGCAAGCTTTCCTTTGGGGGTGACAAAAACGGCCTAAAATGCATGGTCCATGCGACAGCCACACCTGTCCCGAGAGCCACCGGGTGAGAGGAGGCTGTGTGAATTGCACACCAAGGCAGGGACAGCAGAGGGTGCCCCCGGCGCCACCCCAAGCCCAGGCCGGCACGCGGGGGCCTGGGAAGAGCATCAGCTGCCCTCCAGGAGATTAGGGCCCCCCTCCAGGTGGTGGGGGGGCCCAAGAGCCAGCCTGCCGGGTTCTGGGGTGAGGGCTGCGCCCTGGACCCTGCGGCAGAGGGGGAGCTGCTGGGGGAGGGCCAGGCAGTGGCATGGGGTGGGGGCTGGGGGAGGGGGCCCAGGCGCTCCCCTCCAGGAGGAGGCCAAGCCCACCCTCCGGGACGAGGCCCCGGCCCCGTGCGGCCACGGAGCTGGCGTCCCGAGCGCGGGCGGCACTTGGCGACAGGCCTGCGCGGGGCTGGGCCAGGACCGCACCTCGCTTGTCGCTAGAAGCCCCTCGTGCTCGGCGCTCTCGGGCCGCGCCCCCGGGACTGCTCCAGCGAAGCCGAATAAACGCCCTCCACGGACAGGCGTGAGCCACGGGCCACCCACCAGGCCGCACCCGCCACGCCGGCCACGAGACAGCCCAGGGAAGGCCCAGGGCCCGTCGGGGGTGGGGACGACGTGAGACACCCGCAGGGACACGCCGGCATGACCGCGGCGGGATGACCACGTCTTATCGTCCACTGTCCCGTCCCCACCTCGTCAAAGCGGCTACTGGGGAATGCGGAGGTGTGAGCGCGCGAGGCCCTCTCGTGGGTGCGCGGCCACCAGCGGGCCCCAGCCGCCGAGGGACAGCAGGCCGAGGTCGCAGGGGGAGCCGGGGCTCTCCTCACAGTGGCGACCCGGGGCTGCCGAATTAATGGGCAAGCGAGTGGGTGCGTGGGCGGGTGGGTGGACGCGCGGGTGGTGGACGATGACGAAGGTGGGTACAACGGGCAGCAGGACAGGCCCCCGGCACAGAGGCCCAGCCGTGTGTCCTCCCAGGCGTGGAGAACCTGGCAGGTCCTGGAGTGAGGGGCCCGCCCCGCCGCGGACCCTGTCCTCTTCCAGGGTGGAGAGCCGGCCCTGCTCCGGGAGGGGTCCTGGCTGCCCGAGGGCTGCAGGGGTCCTGCCTCCCCCTGGTTGTAGATGCGCCCCGGCAGGGGTACGGCAGGGGTACAGCAGGGGTCCGGTTGGCCCCAGCTCGGCGCCCAGCAGCAGGCCGGCCCCGCGTCCGGGAGGAGCAGGAAACAGACCCGCGACAGCGCCGTTCAGATTTTAACTTGTCCACATTCTTTGCTGCTCTTAGGTGGGTGCCAGGGAATTAGTCACTGAACCAGAAGGAGAGGGGCTGATAGGATCTCCCCACCCAGCAGCCACAGAGCGGGAGGGAACCCGGAGGCTCCCGGGCTGGCCTCGGCTCCTATCGAGACGTGAAGGTTGCTCAGGCACAGCCGGCCGCGCCTCCCCCTGGTGGGCTGAGTCTGCGTCCCGCCGGGACGGGGCCTCCGACAGCCCCAGGTGGGGCTCGCCCTCCTCAGCGGGCGCCCCGACACGGCCCCTGGGGATCAGGGTCAGGACCGCATGCTACCCAGGTGCCTCCGCAGACCCCCTGGTCCCCCTGCCCTGGGGCTCTGGGGGGGCCGCGCCTGCAGTCACGGAGGCGGCAGATTTCCCCTCTGGTGTCACTGTGGGTGCGGCTTTGGGGCAGCCGGGACCCCGCTGGTCAGCAAGTGGCCACTGCAGCCGCCCCGCCTGCCCGCAGGGGGCTTCCATGTCTCCTCCCCGCGGGCTGGGGAGCTTCGCCTGGGCCACCTCTGGCCACCGGCAGGGAGCCCAGGTGGGCTGGCGGCGGGGGCTGTCGTGAATGGGGTCGGGGAGTCCCCGGCTCCAGAGGCTCCGGAAGCCGAGGCAAGACCCACTTGGCAGCGGGGAGGGACCGGGCAAAACCAGGACTTTTTTTGGTTTGTTTTGCTTTCAATAAGAACTCCCCAGAGAGCAGGCTAATTAGGACACGCCCGGCCTGCGGCGGCCCACATGTGCCCACACGCGCGGGGCTCCTGGCCCGGGCCCAGGGAGGCCGAGCACGGAGAGCGGGCGGCCGGGTGGCGGGCTCCCCTCCAGCCAGGCCGCGAGGCCCGGGACCGGCCTGCACCGCAGGGCTGCGGCCACCTGTCTGCGGGGTGGGGGGGGGGCTGCCTTCCAGAAGGATGAGTCAGCCCCTCCCCAGGGAGTAGCTTCTGCCCAGGGCCAGGGCGCTGAGTCCCGGAAGGGAGGGCGCTGCCCAAGGGTCCTCTGGGCACCTGGCTAGGAAGGGCGAGCTGGAGAAAACCCCCGAGCCCCAGGTGTCCTCTGCCAGTCAAGCTGGGGACGGCACAGGCCGGGCCCCCCGTCATGGGCACAGGAAGTGGCCTTCTCCTGGCGCCCGCTGCCTCCCCATCACCCCTGGGGCAGGCCCTGCCAGTCCAGGGCCAGGTGGGTGCCCTGGCGAGAACGTGCCCCGTGGAGGGGGTCAGGCGCCCAGGTCCCCCAGGTTGGGCTTCGAGTCAGGAGGAGATGGGTGAGGCCGAGCCCCAGGCCCCGAGGGGCCAGCCCCTGCCTCCCCAGCCTCCAGGTGTCACATCTGTAAGGAGGGAGAAGCCAGCGCCCACTTTGCAGAGGGCCAGGAACCTGGAACCCTCCACCAGGAGGGGCTCCCCGAAACCATCAGGAGCCACCTCCCCGCACCCGCACTAAGGCCAGCAGGGGAGGCTGCAGGGGAGGGCAGAGGTGGTCCAGCAGGGCAGGGCCCCATGCCCGAGGATGCTGGGTCCCCTGGGGCAGGGGCAGGGTCTCCCTGTTCCTGTCCCGCCCGGGTGGGCTCTCAGAAACGCTGGGGTAAGAGGAACTGACCCCGCGAGTCACAGAAAGACCCTCAGGGCCTGGACCCTGGGAACCTGCCCCGGCTCCCTCCTGGTGTCCGGCTTCCAGCACCGCCGTGGGGACACCAGAGACGGACAGGGGGACGCGGCGAGACGGAGGCTGTGGGCTGCGCGGCTGGGCACAGGCACCACCTGGAGCTCGCCCGGGACGCTGGCCATGGACAGCCTGCCCCCTCCGGGGTGTCCCAGAGGCCGTCTCAGCCCGCTGGCGCCGCGGCAGGCCTGGGGAGGGGACCCTCCATCCCTGTGCCTGCACCAGGCTGTCGGTGGTGGGACTTGGCTCGCTCACGGACTCAGGGAGACTCGAGAGAGCCCGGCACGCCTCTCGCTGCCTCCTGGAAGCCCCCCAGGCTTGCTCCCT